GAGTGTCTTCTCCAGGTCATATGGCTTCATTAATCCTGTATTACTGATCCAAGCCATGACAGCATAAGCCAGCACTCTTGTGTAGCCATATACAGAATTCAATACCATTATACAAATACGTTTCTTTACAGCAATATCATTACATTAATAAATTTATATAATATTAATAATGCATATAAAACCCTCATAAAGTTGGTTCTTATGAGTAAATTTACACACGAGCACATGGACGCACTCTTGAGTCTGATAAAAACTGGGTTTGTGTATTGATCATTAACAAAGTGACAGACATTGTTCCTGATATATTTAATTTAATTTAATTTTCCCTTTTCTTTTTAATTTCAGAAAGACTCTTTTTGAGTCACACTACTCCCTTGTCCCAGCAGTGGCAGGTTAAAACAAAGGAACCCCATGTATCAAACATCAACTTGCAGGTCTGTCAGGTCACATAAATTTTTGACACAGGGAGGTCCTTTGTATTGAATTTTGAGAACTCAAGCTTAAAATTTCAGTGAGTACAAGCCCTGAAGCAGTAAGTGTTACAACCATATCCAGTCTCCCCTACTGGCAAAAGGCTACCACAATCTACAGTATTTTTGCAATCATACTTTATATTTCATGGCGAAACATAAAAAAAAGTTTCTCACTTTTCTTGGCTGAAACCTACCCTCGTCAAAATGAAATCATTCAATTCAATGAATCCCAAGATTCCCCCAAAGTGCAGTCCAAATCCTAAAAATGCCCCAGAAATAGTAGCTTGAACAAACAGCCTAGGTGTTGCCTAACTAGAAGTGAAGCGGGGAATAATATCGCTTTTATACCAGTGCTGCTCTGCTCAGTCCACATGTTTCAGTCACGGCTGTTCAGTCAATGCGGTGTAACGCATGGACGAAAAAAAATGCAGCAAGGCTGAATCAAAATTCATGACGACAGTTTGTATGATAATCCTTTGTCCACCCCGGTACACTTCACATGCACAGCGTCTGCTGCAGCAACCTTTACTCCACTTTTAATTTCTACTATCTCGCCTCGATCGGTTTGCTCATGCAGCAGTAACGCATGCTCCGCTGGGACTATGCTGTGGGACCTTCCGACCAACTGTGCACAAAGATGCAGCGCAAAGTCGAACACACGCCTGCAACAGCAGCAGCAGAAGCTGTCAGTCTACAGATTTGCATGAATGTGTTTTTAAAAAGTAGTACAGATCATCAGTGACATCAGGTCACCTGCAATGACTCGCTATCAAAACTACAAATAATAAATGAATGAAAGGGACTGCTGCAGAGGAAGTTGTGCTCTCTACATGACTCCAAGTTTGAAGAGAATCACTCACACCCACATCTACTTACTAAGTAGCAGAGCAACAGGCAAGAAGAGGAGGCAGGCAGAGTTCATCACTGATGCCATGCTGCTGACCCGTCAAGTCGTCCTCTGGCCCACGCAAGTTTCAGGTCGCACCGGAATTCCAAAGCTGTCCTGCCGAAACCAAAGACAGCCCGTACTGTCCCGCTTCGTGGTGTTCACAGTATTTCCTTCTGCCCACGTTAAGCTGTGTATCCACAGTGAGAGGATCCACAGTGCGCTCATCCGCTCCGCAGAAGGGGAGGGCGCGTCCGTGCCAGAGGAGGAAGAGGAGGAAGAAGAGGAGGAGGAGAGTATAGAGTAGCTTGAAGTCCCCGATGAGCTGAGCCGGACCAGGATCTGAGTAATTAGTGAATGCTGAGAGGAATGTTAGGATCTGCTAGTGCCTGAATGCCTCATTTTTATCTTCGAACTGGGTGACAAAGACAATTAAAACCCGAGTGGAAGTGAACTTGTGTCTCACTGAAGTAATGCTGTATGGTTATCTGTAAAATGTAGGTCCAGATAAGTCTGTGAGTTGGGGTTGGGAGCTCTCTGAAAAGTCTTGGGATGACCGAAAAAGGAGAAGGAGGTCCTGCCACACCATTTCCCCCCCTTGTGTGTATCTGTGATAAATTCTTGCTTTTTGTGGAGTTATTTTAAAGAGAAGTACAAGGTTGCATTTGAACAGAAAAAAAAACAACTATCTCACAGTTAGAGTTCATATAGACAGGAAGAACGTTTGTGTAGTAGGGATGGGGATCGAGAACTGGTTCTTGTTGAGAACCGGCATCATTTACATTTCATTAATGATCCCCTTAACAATTCCTTTCTTCCGGGTGCTTTGGAGAGCAAGTCTATGCGAACGAGAACAGAGACTTTGAGGAAAAAAATATGGCGGGCAGTATGAAAAGTAGGCAGAAACGATCTAAAGCGTGGCTTAATTTCACTGAGAAAGATGACGAGTTTTGCATGGAAGTTTTGAGTCTGTGTAGCGTGGACTTACTGAGTTAGAAGCCATAAAAAACCCTCAAAATTTTGCGCACGACTCCACCCCGTGTAGCTGTGTCTTCTTTTTGGGATCCAGAATATGGTCACCCTAATTTGACTTAATACTGACTGAAGTAAATGCTGTACAAATAGTTTGTTGTTTGATTATTTTTACACTCTCACTGAAGGTGGCATATATCTTGTTCTGTTATCAGAGACTCAATAAAATTTTGAGTTAATGGTGAAAACCTATAGTCTACTTTTTTAAAATCAAAGATGGCATTGATAAGGAAGAATTGAATTGATAAACAGAATCAATAATGGCATTGATATCGATAAAATCTTATCAATTCCCATCCCTAATGTGTAGACTATTACTTTCCTCAAGAAGTTTATATTGAAAGCTCTGAATACCGATCGTAAGGAAATGTGGCTGCTATAACTTTTGTCCTTTACATCAGAAAATGAAGACACGGTAAACTGAACAAGTCTTTTTTTATTCCAAAAATGTTTCAGTAAAATAAACTGTAAAAGATACAACAGAACCATCCAAGCAGATTGAACAGAACAGAATCGAGAGGAGATATAGTGATTTATACACAAGCCTCAATGTTTCTTGCACAGCTCTCACACCCAGGTGGACAACAAACTGGGGTGTATAACTGAAAAGCAGGGTTACAAGAAGGGTTACTACAGAAAACCTCTCTCTATAGAGTCTATGAGCATTCAAATATCAGTCCAAATAAACCGTATTGTCAATCATATGTTTGCAAAGAAATAATGGAGATTTCCCTCTGCTCTATTTCAGAACCAGCCACAAATGACCTCTGAATGACATAAATGCTTTTATATGAGTTAGACGAGGCTGTGATTACAGGGGTTAATATCAAAGTAAGATGTGTGGAGTACAATAAGGCACTTGCTAGACGAATCAAACTTAACCGATTCTGAATGACAGGTGACAAATGAACACAACTTTTATTTCACAATCAGCAAATCAGTGCATCACCCTGCAATTGAACCACCCTGTGAGTAAATGAGCTGTACTCAAAATATCACACATTTGGATGATAAAGATGATGAAACAGTGCATCTAAAAAAACCTAAAGGCAGCTCTGTCACTGAGGGTAAAACAGATGCTGAATGAGAAGGAATGACTTCTGAATCCAAATTGAAGCAGGATGAGTATCTGCAGTTGAACTGGTGCCCCCTACAGCTTCAGAGAGGTAACTGCACGTTTAGTTCACAAACATTTGGAATAATATCTGAACAAAACAGCATCATCAGTAACAATTATATTTAGGAAGTGTTTTATTAGGTATCATAACTAGTTTGACAACTCTTAAAGCAAGTATACAAGTCTTACAAATACTAAAGGTTTGGATTAAAAAGGGGAGAAGTCAGACAGAACAAAACACTGAACACTGGGAAGAACTGAATTTGGACAACAAACATGGCTGACATACATAATCAGGGTGGAGGGGGCTTATACAGGCTCCTGTGACAGACAGCCTTAGCCTCCACATTGTTGCATTTTGAGGCGGTCTTTCTCAATCATATTTATCTGGTTTGTTTCATCCAGAAACTGTTACAAGAATGAGTTTTGAAAAGAAAAGCCAAATAGGAAAAAGTGTAATGACATCTGCCTTTATCCACCTCAGGGACAAATGCAATTAACTCTCAGTAAAAAACGATTTCACCTGTTGATCTCTTTTAAAGCACAAGAAAGATTCGGCCTGGCAAGAATCTTCTTACCAGCCTGTTAAAAGAAAAATGAAACGGAAAATGGCTTTGAATGTTGAATACTTTCAGGTGCAAGGAATACCTTGGTTGTTTAAATTAAAAAATGAACAAAAGACAGCAATAGCCCACTGCAGCCGAATTCAAAGTTGGCCTTAAGTGATAAGGAATTTTTCTAACTGAAATAAAAGTAAGGAATTTTTTTTTTAAAAAAGGTGTCCAGGCCTGTTGTTGTTTGCTCAGAGGCTCAGTGCATGCTGACATTTTTCCGCGTCTTTGCTTATTGATGTTTTTCTTCTCTTGCTGATAAAAAAGCTTTGCATCACACATAAATGTAAATCTCACAACGTAAAGTCTGTCAGGTGGGCTCGAGGAACACAAAAAAACTAAAGACACAGCAATGGCTGGTCTCACCAACCACTCAGCCAGACATTCTTTTGGTCTTGCACACATTAACAGGGTGACAGATGTGATTACGAGCAGGTTTTCTTCATAGCGTTCATGATCCAGACTGAACAAGCCACAACCAGAGAGCCTCTGAAGAATCTCGGATGAACTGGAGAGTCCAAACACTGACACTGGAAACTCTCCACCCAAATAGTCCAATGAAAAAAAAAGCCTTTCCATGATCCTCTTACTTCACTGGTGCCGATCAAAAAAAGAGCAAAGACATGGTGGGGCTGGAAAAAATATCATTCAAGGTTGTGTTGCAAGAATTGGAGGGAATTTTCTTCTGGGGAAGAGGAGGGAACCAGACCATCATTCAGGGAGTTTTAGTCTTTCATCTCCAACCAACCGCACATCCCATCCTCAACATCCGAGAAATACACAAGAGCTGAAGTTGTCCTGGTTCCTTTTTTCCTCTTCAGTATTCACAAACTCAACAAAACGATCTGCATCTATAAGGAAACTACTCTGCTTATGTGGGACTAGTGGTTGACAAGACCCTGGAGCATCATCATGAGGCGCCGAGCCCTCTTGCTGAGTGGGCTGTGAGGATCCTGCTGTATGAAGGAGAAGAGCTTTGGTCTAACCTGAGCCAACACGATGGCCATGTGGTCTCTTGTCATGGGGTCTCCATGGTCTAAATTCATCACTGCATCCTCCATGTAGCTGTACAGGGACAGAGAACAACACAAAAATCAGAGAATTAGAAACAAAATGCAAAAAAATTTCCAGGCAAACTTTTTCTGTTTTTGATAAGCTAGAAAGAAATGAGACTTCGGCCATGAGACCATTTATTATTTTAGGGAAAAAGACAGGACTGCAATGAATTGATTTAACACAGGAGGCCAGAGTCAGGACAGTAAAAGACAAAAGAAAACTACAACTTCATCAGCAACTCAATCAATTCAGCCTTCAAAGCAGAAGGGGAATATGTTTGTGTTTTCACCTATTGAGCAGCAGTTGCAGGATAAGGACGGTGATTTATCCTTTTACCATGGGAAATTTCAAACCCCATCCCTGACCACTGTCCTGGCTGACTACAGGCTCGGTCAGCTTGTATCAAGTAATTTTTCTCCAAAACTATAGTAAAATCAAGTAGCGCTGTAGCACCAGTCCAACTCCATTCTCTCTATTGAAACGCTTTCATTCATTGTTCAGATTCACGTATCATTTTATCGACAAAACGTGCCAACAAAATAGAGGTGTAGAGGATGGTTATGAAGTTATTCAGTTCAAATTCATTTTGCAGTCTAAAACAAATATTACATGATCGAGCGTAAATGTTATTCAATGGTATGAAGGTGCTGAATAAAGGACACTTCTGCATGGATATATCAGCACTCCAACCTGCAGGAATGCTCCTTCATGTCCTCAGCTAAGAACAGACCCGAGATAAGAAAATATTCATTTACACTGAGCAAAGTGGTTTTCAGAACAAACCCCAAGATCTTTAAGGGACATTCTGGTGTAAATTTAATCCAGGGTCAAACACACCGTAACACCAAGTTAGACAACCCCTTGAGTGATGAATGTTGCCGACTGTTTGCTTCTCTTGTTATACCAATTTTAGTAACGACCGCATGATAGCAATACATAGCAGTCTACATCTCCATGTGCAAACCAACCAAAAAGCCACTCTAGAGCTTTTTGGTTTTTGGTCGTTACTAAAGTTGGTATAAATAGAGAAGCAAGTGGTCGGCAACATTCATCCCTCAAGGGGGTTTCTAACTCAGTGTTACGGTGTGGTTGACCATAACTTATATCCCTTTGAAAGTGTTTGGTGAGTGTTTAATCTAAAAATGTCTGCTTTGGGTCTTTATCCCTAACATGAATCTGTCATGTCTGCATGTTGTAAACTGAGATAGGGGTGGCGGACAGAAGCTCTACATAAGGATTCTTTGCAGGCCTAAAAACCTGAACATTGTTTTTCTTCTGACCTAGTCAATTCTTTTTGAATCCATTAAAGCAGATGTACAGAAAAACAAAAAAACCCTCCAAACAGTGCTCCAAAATTCACATTACTTCAGTCATACTTCAGTATGAATAAACGTCTATGTACCTACAACAGCCAAGTTTTCGAAAATGACAAAAAAATAATAAGTGTGTCCCATGAACCCCACACACCACATCCAACCCAACATAACTCTGCTCTAATGATGCCCCAGACAGAACCACACCCTACTGCTGTCCGCTGTTACTCCAGATGGCACAGAACTGCAAAAAAAGGGGGTCGTATTAGCGGTAGTAAACAGCTGTAATGTAAACGCAGGACAGGAGCAGGTGATCCAGACACAATGTGGTGCTGTAAAGGGACAATGAAACAAATAGAGGGGGCAAAGAGGACAGTAAGAGAGAGGGAATGACTGAACTCATAAGAGGGGATGACATGAAATAAAGGGGGAAGGAAAAACAAAAAGAAAAAAGACAACAAGATAAGAATGTAGGAGTCAATTCCTGCAGATAGGATTGAAAGATCAAGAGCTTCTCAGATACTGCAACGCTATTCACAGACCGAGCTGCACTCCCTGGACAGCTATGTTGCAGAGCTACAGACGGAGCAGGGTGAGGGGGTCAGCAGTTTAGCATCATTTAGTGCTCAGGAGACCAGGAGTAATAGACTTACAATGGATATGAGATAGGGAATACAAATGTAAGCCAAAACTGGCTTTACAACCAATCAAGGCTTGAACAGGAGCCAGTCTCTGCAGAACAGAAGGTGTGTGATGGCATTAAAACAGGGGGGCTCACTGTTGTCTCTTTATGTTAAAATGAACTGAAATCAGAACACTTGGGGGAGGAAGTACACTTACTCAGCCCAGAAGTTACTTACTATTGTGACATGCACACACACGCACACACACATAATGTCCCTGCTGTAAATGCACAGGTCGTATTAAAAACTCTAGTAATGTTTGAAGGCAACTTAATGAAATAATCTGCAGCTGCTGTGAAATGCAGAGGCAGACACTCTAAGTGGGAAAGAAATACAGAGAGGAGGTGGTGGGGATCTTTGCTGGGTTCTGCATTCTCTCCGTTTACAGTATCTAATTTGTGTGGGCACCCATGCTGTTTGTCTTTTCCAACAAAACCTGTTGTAGTAATTTTGAAACCTGAGGGAAATGGCATCACTTTCTGACAGTGAGTGTATCCTCCATTTCCAGTAATAGAAGAAGAGAGTGCCAAATATTCAATGTGCACTCAGTTCTGATTGGTGTCAGCCTGTTGCAGCCACTGCATAAGACAAGAGAGCAATGGGGGAAGAAAGACTTGAAGATAAAATGATCCAAAAAGGTTCATCTGGTCTCACTTTACAATGCATGAATCATTCTTATATCTGACCAGGATGTTTCTGAACACTTTATTTAGAAGTAAGACTCTCACATCGCTGCTACTGCTGCTGCTGCTGCCATGTTTATTTTTTGAATACATCCCTTCGCTGAGGCAGCACCTGCACAGGTAGTCTACATGTTTCAGAAACTAGGTTAGGGTCTACACATGCCTACCAGTCTACTTATTCTCTACTCCAGTTTCTCAAAGCTTATCCCTGTTTCTGAGATCCGAATGTGATGTTTACTTGCACAGATACAAAAACAGGATAACCTCAAAACCTGGATACTCAAGTTCATGTCAGCACACTCAATCCAAGAAGTTTTCAACAAGCGATAAACCGAGACAGTTAAAGTTCATGTAAAATCAAACTGAAACAGAAAAACTGTGAGCCACTGTGTCCTTTTATCACAACTAAAACCTGAAAAATGTTGAAAAAGACTTTGTGTGGCACACAAACTCCTAGAGACTTTCCTGTATGGCCCACTTGCTGTTCAAGCTGAAAAGCCCTTTTATACAGGTGGTGACAAATATCAAGCCTCAGACTGCATGCTCAAAATAACAGTAGCGCAAATCGTAAATTTTAGCATCATTTAGTTTAGTCCGTCATACTAAAGGCACAGTCATACATGTGCTTTCCATCAGGGAGAGTAACTCTTCAGTTTCACTTTAAATACTGATTTCACATTTGCAGGACAACCTTAAACTAAAGCCAGCCATCCACCAGAGGACTTTGAGAAGATTTGAAGACTGTGAATCTTGCAGGGTCACTATTTACAAGACGAGATTCTTTTAGGATTGTTTAACAATTCAGTGTGTGTGTGTGTGTGTGTGTGTGTGTTTGTGGGGGGGGGGCTCATTAATCAGCTGTGTGTTCACATATGTCATATATGCTAACACTCAGCATGCGCGCCCCTTGGTGCAGCCTGTGTGCGCAGCATATACTGATACATACTGAGTCCGAGGTAGCGTGTAGAAAAACTCTATTGCTGAGGTGTGGTGGTTTTTATTTAGCTGTGACGGTGCGCCATTACATGTAGGGGAAACCCTGCAGATGATGTTGAACAGTCAAGGCTGATCTGCTCACAGCTCCACTAACCTCTCCTTTTTTATCACCAGTAACTCTTCATACATTCTTGTTCTTCTTGTTTTGACTGTCAAGTTTCCTTTTACGCTTTTTTCAGAGCTCATCTATTGGTTGTTGATTGTGTTACAGCACTGCGACTTTATATAATATCAAACATGATCTCAAACCAAAGACTAGGAAAAGACTGATATGAAAAAGCGCAGATTACCACCATAAACTGAATGATCGAGATGACAGGAGCGCGCTGTGACTCCGCTGTGACTCCAGACAAACTCCTAGATTTACTTAAGACTTTCAGTTTTTAGTCTGGAACTGTGAAAATGGTTTGGTGGAAGCCCAACATAAGTAATGTTTATTTTTCTCTGAACTCACAGCAGATGTCAAGGTAGTTAGTGTATGATAATGAGAGAATCAAATACTGGCAAACTCACACTTTTAATGTTTGTTTTGCTGTACAGTTTTTCATCATGCAAAAAAAAGAGGGGAGATCTGTGAAATCTGTAGCATCAACTTATTCAGACCCTTGAAGACACCCATCAGCTCCTTCGGCCGTGAACATGTAAATGCAACCTTGCAAGAAGATTAAAAAAAAATAGGAAAAATAAAACACTGCAGTAAATTTGAAAAGTTTCATTACCTGATTTTGAGTTCAGAGCGGGTCGCAAGATTGGAGGACAGCTGCTGGATAAGTGACAGAAGCACAGGCTGGCTGAGAGGGCATGGATGTTGCCCAAACACTTGCTGGGAATCAATGGTCTCACACACATATAAGACCAAGTTCAGATCTGTCGCTGACAGAGCCTGAGGGGAGAGGGAGAGATGACAGTTCATTGAGATTAAAACTGCACAATTGTGAATTCTTGCACAGACTGGAGTATCTCATAGTTTTTGCCTGAGGGATCCTGTGAGATCCTGCTGTCTGCCTGTCTAAGTGTCCTTGAGCAAGACACCAAACACCAAACCGCTCCCACTGGCGTACCATGAGCATGTGAATGAAAGCGAATGTGACGAAATTAGTTCCCAATTGAGAACTCGACACTTTACATAGCAGCCCCACTAACATTGAATGAATGTGTGTGTAAAAGGTTGACTGTGCAGTAGGACTGGGCGATTATATGATTGTGATAAATTTCAGTTCGATCACAGTGATCAGCTGTGAGCATATTTACTCGATCAAAACATGGCGGAAATGAGCGTGACAACAGCCAATCAGAGTGGAGCTTTTCCGGCTTATTTCTGTAAGTTGCTGGAGAAGTAAACAGAATGACTGAACGTGGAGCTAAACACAGAGCTGAGGGCAGCAAAACAGATGTCAGCCATGACTCTGAGTCATCCTCCAAAGTTGCTATTGTTGAGAAGAAAAGTATATTCAACGTCGGTTGTGTGGCGGTGGTTCAGGTATCTCCAAAGTGACGTTGAACAATTAAGCCGACATGCAAGGTTTGTCGGCGGTCGGTGCCTTCAAAAAACTACAACACAACAGATCTGTTTAATCATTTAAAGAAGTACTTCCTGAAAAAGCATGAAAATGTGAGCGGAGTCTGCACAGCCTGCCACTGCTGACAGCACAAGTAGCATTAGCAGTTTAGCTACAACTAGTGGTAGACTGTTTATACTATGGACAACTTGGTTCCGCCTACCGCCTGTACACGGATTTGAAGCCAAAAAGCTCTCGGTATTTCCGTGATTTTTCTTCATTTCCTGAAACCAGCGCTGCGCAGTAGCGATGCACGCATTTGGGCATGCAGTTGCCGAGAGTCCCTGTGATGACGCTCGGCTCAAACAGCGTATCCTCCGGGAGAGCTACGCAATTCCTGAACGCCAATAGGCTGTATCAGGTGTCAATCATAGAAAACATGAACCCCCTAATAACTTTTGAAAAAGGAGCTTCACAGAAAAAAAGAGGACTTGAGCACAAACCAGTCTGACAATAACTACATGTCCACATCACAAGCAGGGGGGAGAAAAAATTATGTTCTGTGTAACAAATTTCTTAAGTTTGTCCACAGCCCCATAAACTTTGCTGGAGGAGGCGGGATTTATGACCTATACTGCAGCCCATCAACAGAGGGCGCTGTTCTCGGAGTGGCTTCACCCAGCGAGGAGGCAGACTCTGTCCATTCTATATACAGTCTATGGTGGCACAGCCACCAGACTGAAGCAGCAATCAATCATATCAACTACGTTTACATCATCTAATGTTTACATTTTGAGGTGTCTTCATTATCCCTGAGGGGGCCATTTGTTTATTTTGGGTCTTGCAGAAACACTCAAGTCTGTAAACTCGTTCACTGTATTATTTAATATTTATCTACATTTGTTGTACTGTTGAGCTAAAATGTTTATCTTAAAGTTTATCTTATTTAATTTGCTTTGTTATTTACTTTGTATGTTAATAAAATATTGAACTAATCTCTAGTTTCTTTAGATTTTAGTACGTATGCTTTAAAACTGGCAGTTTAAAAAAAATTGTGATAATAATCAAGATTTAAGGAAGAAATATATTGTGATCCCTTTTTTTTGCCAAATCCCCCAGCCCCACATGTGGGGCTGTCTGTAGAGACTCTGTCCTTACTCTGTGGTATTTTTCTTGCCAGTTGAGCATTTTACACCACTTTTTTTTGCCATCGTAAGGCATAAAATTAAAGCTGCTTTTAATTTAAATCTTGTATGAAATAACCAGAAAATAAGGTCTTATACAGTGCATCCGGAAAGTATTCATACCACTTCATTTTTTTCACATTTTGTTATGTCACAGCTAGGCCTGTCACGATAACAAATTTTGCTGGACGATAATTGTGCTACAAATTATCGCCGATAAACGATATTATTGACACCATTTTTTAAATTATAGATAATGATATTATATGGCATAATAATGCGAGTACACCATGTCAAAAGTGATAAACTTTAATTTCCACACGAGAACAACACTGGTTGTTTTCGTTGACTAAAATATTTCCCTTTTCTCCCACGACGAAGACGTAGCGTTGACGAGCTAAACATAAGTCGGAGATGACTTAAATGTGACGAGTCGAAAGTGCGTTTACGTTGATGGGACGAGACGAAAATGACAAACAGAGTTGCAAAACTCAGTCAGTTAAACGCTAAACATATAGGAGCAGCTTCAGTCCGCTCTGACAGCTCTCATCAGCCTGCTGTGCTCCTCCAACACACAGACACGCGCGCGCGCGCGCACACACACGTGGAGTTTTGTGGTTGACGAAAACAAAACTGGTTTAAAGCCGAAATATTCCCACACTTGGGCTGTTGCGTTCACCAAAGCTGTCGTGTTCATTCTGTTAGCTTGCTTTTCACTCACGACGCTCACTTGCAGCACTGTATCCAAAAAGTCTGTGTCTGTGTGCCTGTGCGCGCCAGCCCCCTCGTGACAAAGACACTGAATGACTGACAGGAGGGTTCACTAACTCCGTTCATTCCGCTATAGAGCCAACGCCCCCAGGTGCCGAGAAAAATGCGCAGAGTGAGACCTCTTCTCTCATCCAGCGTGTTTGGTAGCGAGAGAGGAGGAAAACAAGCGCACGTCAATTATCGAGGCTGGCAAAGTTATCGACCTCGTTTTTATTTATCGAGCGATAAGGCGATTTATTGATTATCGCGACAGGCCTAGTCACAGCCTTATTCCAAAATGGATTAAATTCCTTTTTTCCCTCAAAAATTCTACACAAAATACCCCATAATGACAGAGCAAAAAACTTTTTTTTAGAACATTTTGCAAATTTATTAAAAATAAGAACACTCAAATGTTGCATATACATAAGTATTCACACCCTTTGCTATAAAACTCAAAATTGAGCTCAGGTGCATCCTGTTTCCACTGATCAGCCTTGAAATGTTCCTCCAGTCCACCTGTGGCAAATTCAGCTGATTGGACATGATTTGGAAAGCCACACCTGTCTATATAAGATCCCACAGCTGACAGAGCACGTCAGAGCACAAACCAAGCCATGAAGTCGAAAGAATTGTCTGTAGACCTCCGAAACAAGGTTGTATTGGCGCACAGATCTGGGGAACGTTGCAGAAAAATATCTGCTGCATTGAAGATCCCAAAAAGCACAGTGGTCTCCATCATTAAGAAATGGAAGATGTTTGGAACAACCAGGACTCTTCCTAGAGCTGGACGCTCAGCCAAAATGAGCAAGCGGTGGAGAAGGGCCTTGGTCATGGAGGTGACCAAGAACCCGATGGTCACTCTGACAGAGCTCCAGCGTTCCTCTGAGGAGATGGGAGAACCCTACAGAAGGACCACCAACTCTGCAGTACTCCCCCAGTCAGGCATTTATGGTAGAGTTGCCAGACAGAAGCCACTCCTCAGTAAAAAACACATGACAGCCCGCTTGGACTTGGCTAGAAGGCACCTGAAGGATTTACAGACCAGAAGAAGCAAAATTCTCTGGTCTGATGAAACGAAGATCGAATTCTTTGGCCTATATGCCAAGCGTCATGTCTGGAGGGAACCAGGCACCGCTCACCACCTCACCAATACCATCCCTACAGTGAAGCATGGTGGTGCCAGCATCATGCTGTGGGGATGTTTTTCAGCGGCAGGAACTGGGAGACTTGTCAGGATCGAGGGAAAAATGAATGCAGCTAAGTACATCGAAATCCTTGATGATAACCTGCTCCAGAGCGCTCCAGACCTTTGACTGGGGCGACACTTCATCTTCCAGCATGACAATGACCCTAAGCACACGGCCAAGAAGACAATATCTGAACATCTTTGGAAAGACCTGAAAGTAACTGTGCACCGACGCTGCCCATCCAACCTCACTGAGCTTGAGAGGATGTGCAAGGAAGAATGGGAAAAACTCCCCAAATCCAGGTGTGCCAAGCTTGTTGCATCATACACAAGAAGACTGGAGGCTGTAATCGCTGCCAAAGGTGCTTCGACCAAGTATTGAGTAAAGGGTGTGAATACTTATGTATATGCAACATTTGAGTGTTCTTATTTTTAATAAATGATCTAAAAAAAGTTGTTCACTTTGTCTTTATGGGGTATTTTGTGTAGAATTTTTGAGGGAAAAAGGGAACTTAATCCATTTTGGAATAAGGATGTAACATAACAAAATGTGGAAAAAGTGAAGTGGTATGAATACTTGACGGATGCACTGTATATCATTTCTCTGTTTCTGCCCTTTGTCTTAACTCGATGCTCTTGCTCTCTGGTAGGCATCTAACAAACTACTCAATTTAAGACACAAAAGATTGTGCAATGCTGAGTTTATGAGACAAGATTTTCCATATTTTTTTAAAACTTTAAGTAACCCAGTCTACTTTCAGGCTGCAGAGAGGCGATTGCTCATAAAGCTGTTGTCTGTGATACTTATTAGTGATTGATTGTTGCTTTACTGCCTGACATGTTTATAGGATTCAGTAGATACTCCCACTACAACATAAAATTAGAGGAGTAAGCAAACAGCCAAAGACCAATCACTCGTCCAAAATTGCTGGACTTCTGAGTACCCCTCAAAGAGACACAAGCTCTTACACTGTTGTTTCTTGTCTATTATGTGTCTTTCTCTTGTCTGCAGAGCAGGCGTGAAGAAGACTATTACGACATAGACACATGAGGTAGACAGAGGGAGATTATCCACTAACTAACTGGTTGTGATTAGCAAGAATTTAAGAATAAAAAAAGATTAATGCTAAAAAGGTTGTCAAATATATTTGTGGGACTCCTCACAAATGAGAAATATTGAGGCTGCTGCTGTAAGGAACAGACTGACACTGATTCAAAGAGGGTATAGGGGAGTCATCCATTGTCCATCTCCTCCTTGGACAGATTTCTTACAGTCAAGTGAGGGTCATAATGGGACTCTACCCTCCTCACTTTTCCTCCTTGCCTGTCAAGTATCACTCCCCTCTCTTTTGCTTGTGGCAAGTGTAAAAAAAAAGGAGATTGTAACATTTAAAATCACATGATGGTACTGAGAAGAATCAAATTAATATTTTCAAGATTCAAAGTACACAATATTTTGGTGACCTGTTTCTTCAGTACACTTTAACAACAAAAATGGAACTGCAGCAGAAAACTCAATTTTGATTCACACTACACACCTTAACAGTGACTATGGAAAAAAGCTGGTTGACTATACATTATACTGTCAAATCATACTCTCCACCAGGTCTTGCTCAATTTTAAAGTCAAGACACAGTACCATGTTTGCAGACTACTCAAAATTCTACCATTTTTTATCACAACAAACCACTGAGCAAGGCAAGCAGACAGGTCAGATGCTGTTCTAGTAAATCTGGAAGATTTAAGACCAGATGTGAATTCTCAATAACCTGAAACCTGAGGTGTCTGTCCTGAAACCACACCAGTTCAGAAGATCCCTCCATTGACTTTCTGCTGGTCTGTCAGTACTGTCAGTACAAAGGTGGGATCATTTCCTTGATCAAGTCCAAAACCTACGCTGTTCTTGTTGTTAGCAGTGGAAGCTGTCTTGTGTAGCTCCCCTGCAGAGACATGGTGCACATCTGCACCACCAACTGAGGGTTTCTGCCTGCCACTCTACTTTGAGCCATTTGCTTTGGGTTTAAAGAGTCCAGATTAAGAAATGCATGTTCCAGCCAATTCTGAGCAATCAATGACTCTGTTATGCTTACAGAGCTGGTTTGCATTTACTGGTAGATAAAAAGTACAGTTCAATGGTTTTGTATACGCTCATGTGCAGCCTTACACCTGGACCTATGTACATCTTTGTGTGTGTGTGTGTGTGTGTGTGTGTGTGTGTGTGTGTGTGTGTGTGTGTGTGTGTGTGTGTGTGTGTGTGTGTCTGTCTGTCTATCTTACCTGCTGGAAAGCCTGGTTGAGTTGACCCTGCTGGAGTAGCTGCAGGATGTTGGCCTGCTGTGTCTGGTAGTCGAGGTGTGCTGTTGGGACAGGTGTGCCAGCTGCTGACCTCATAGCCTGCATGATGCTAGAGGTGACCACTGCCTGCTGCTCTTTCATTGCCAGGCTGACCTCTCCTTTCACAATCCGCTGCACATGGCTAAGAATAGACTCTTGTAAACTGGGGAGAGAAGGAGAGAGGGGGAACGTCACTAAATAAAATAGGGTTATCCTCTGTTTAACTTCTATCTTTGTTGCTGCACTGTTTACATGCTGTACTCAACATGTCCATGAGAACATGAAAGTATCAGATTCACTTGTTCACTAACTTAGTGAGAGATCTTACTAATGAGTGGGATCTCATCTGACCACAACCTCCTATTACTTTGATCTCAATGTTACTTTGGGCTTTGCACAGTCCAGCATTGTCATTTCCTCTCAAGATTTTGACGTTTCCGCTCACATACTCTCAGCTCAGCCTCAGACCAATCTATAAACTCGAGGGGCCAAGAAATTAATTGCAGGGGGAACAGGAGACTGGATCGAATTTGTGTTCTTACATTAGCCCCAGGATTAAGCTTTGCTTGTTTCCACTCTCCGATCCATTATGCACCTGCTCAATAGACAGTGAGCAAGGCCAAGGCTGCTGGCATGGGCATCTGCTGATGTGCATATCTGTTATTCAATATCTGCTTGGTATGTTAACCAGCACGACTCTTCCCAACCACTGCAGGTTACACTAACAGGAGCTTGATGGTTTTCAGCCACATGGCTGATAGAGGGCAGTGTTGTGTGTTTTTAATCCATTTTAAGTGTTCAATCTTTAAGTTAATGATCTGATGGGAGTGATCGTGAAATGTAAAGTCGAGCTTCACACTGAACACAAAACTTTGTACATGTAGAAAAATAAAAGGATGCAAGGACAGAATGAAGGTAAACAGAGGAAATGCTCAGGGTGGTGATTCTGTTCAAATGAAAAAAAAAAACATGAACATGATCACAAAAATAATGACGACAGTAATAATATTAATAACAAGGCGTGGTTGTAGTAGTCATCTTATACAGATGACTGTATAATGATCTATAAACTAAACATCAAGTTGGTTAAGTGATTATTTAGTTGACCAGGGTGGGATAGCTACGATACATACTTTCCAACCATCATCTGGATCTGGTGCTGAACCTCAGCCCGGACATTAGCGGTGATGTTGTTGGTCAGCTGATCGGTGGAGCTTTGGAAGCCATCGATCATCTGCTGGAGCTGGGCAAGCATAGGGTCTCGTGTGTCCTGCTCTCTCTGCTTCCTGCTCTTCAAATGACTCTCAAGCTGTTGGATGTCTAAATAACAAACAAACCAAAGAAAGAAAGAAAAATAAAAAGTGTTATCTCCACACACTAACTCCCAATGAAAAATATGTAAATAACAACATCAGCAATGTTTTATTCATATTGAGATTGGATGAGTTCAAATTAAAGGGGTGGCTGCCATGACTTTCCCTCCAAAATTTCACCAACCAGCGATAAAACTCTGAACTAGGGCTGCACGATTTTGGCCAAAACTTAAAATCCCAATTTTTAATTTAAAGACTCGACTTTAGATTTCAATATTTTATTCAGTGACAACTTCACCAAACTTACATTTTAAAAATAAGTTTTTCTCTCATCTCTCAAAACGAAACCACTAAAAATGATGTAGTGCATATGCAGCATGCATATAGTGGTTGTTTTGGCCGCACACGTGCCGGCGCCATAAAAGTTACATTGTGTGACACATAATGGTTTCAAGAGAGATGCAGATAGACATCCACACGGAGATGAAATGGTAGTCGTTTACAGATTTATGCACTCTCTGACCCGTTAAAAAAGTACCGTTTCCAGTCACCGAAATGCCTTCTCTGTTTTTTGCTGACACAACAAAAAACTTTTGCATTTACTCATGAATTCATTTCCATGTGGACAGGTTGATATAACCTTCAGACAGACTTTGGACCAGGGAGTGGTTTGAGAGGAAAATCGGTTTGTTGATTTTCATTTTTTTAACATGCTCATAATTAAATAATTTGAATACTATTTAAAATCAATTAATCATGCAGCTCTACTCTGAACCACAAAATTTCTGTTCATTCCATATTTCTCTAAATGTAGAAAGGCTGTGGACTATCACTTGATTCAAATCAGTTATCAATTTCTAGACTATTTCTTGTCATGATTCTGTGTCTATGTTTCATCATAAAAAATGTTGTGTTGTTACTTTAAAACTGGATAATAACCAGAAAACAAAAGTGAAGAAAGCTAGCAAAAGGTCAAAAGGTCACTCTATACAGGATTTTTATGAAAATCACCTGAAGAGATGAGAACTGGAGAATTTCAAAACTATTACCCATGATAAATATACAGTAGGTGGTAAATAAACAGAAATCATATTGCCTTTTATTGTTCCAGCTTTAAGCTGCTTACCCTTCCTTGTAGTGAGAGCACGTTACAGACAAGATTCAGTCATCCAAGATGAACCCTTGGTTCTGATCATAGATTAAATTCAAATCAGACAGAGCACACAGACTGAGAAATGCTATGTGGCAGAAATCTGAGTTACAGACTAACCCTTCTGTATCAAATATGACAGCCTTGGTAATATTTAAAAACACCTTGCTGTAGGCTTCCAGAGGTCGGTATGAGCGCGATCTCTGTATAAAAGACTATTTATCAACACATCAGTGCCCTGGCTCAGTCTGAAAGAGAATCATTACAAAAGCTGTCCCTGAGCTTTTCAAAGAGATGGTTATTTAGGAAGACTTGCAAACAAACAGACTCTGAATTCAGGAAACAACCAATATGAAGAAAATACCAAAGTATCTTACAGGGAAATTAGCCATTGTGAGTCTGGAGAAAAGCTTATGGTAACTATTCAAAGACTGTGTCTGGCCACAGGCAGATGAAAAAACAGAAATGTTAATGCTTGAAAAGACTGCCTTACATTCTTGTGTGCCTTGCTTGAAGCTGTCGTTGATTTGTTGAAACATGGTCTGACACCCTCTTTCAAAGACAGGCAGCACTATGCTCTGGAAGGCATCTTTGTAGGCTGCTTGTATTGGCCCCTGCATCGCTTCAGCTGCAGCTCGACCGATTGCATCTGTTGTGTTCTGTAAACAGTCAGTGAATAAAAGTGAGCTATGAGATGTTTTCAGATTGAAGGATAGGACCGTACACTAGCTCAGCCACTTACCTTGGATTTGACAACCTTGTTCACGTTTTCCTTTAGAGTGATTTCTACAGCAGTCATCTTAGCAGTGATGGTATTGTTCAGCTGACCTACCACTGGCTCCAGACTCTTCGAGATAGCTGAAGAGAGGAAAGAATTGGTACAACAGATTAGCAAACGCTCTTTAGGCCCAAGATCAAGGCACAGGTAAAAAGACAGGAGCATCTTATCCTGAAAGAAGAGGAAAGGGTGAAAAGTCAAGAAAGAAAAAGAGAGGGCGTTTGATTTATGTTAGACCACACAGAGCACCTCCCGACTTTGACTTTCCCCCAATGAACTCAGGCCTACAGTGATATCTAAATCTTTTATAATATATTCTTCAGTCAAAGATCACTAGACAAAGGAAGGAACAAAGACCTGATTTACTTTGACCAATGGGAGCTTCAAAATCGAGTAGTGTTTACATTGATCTTATCCATAAGTACAGAAACAAACCCAAATACTAACCCTAAAAATGTCACCTATCTATCAACGTCACACAGTGTCTTAGTCTTTTAGTCAGCAATTTTAGTCAGTATTTGGTCCTGTAGCAATCCAGTACCTCACTCAAGAAGACAAGAGAGAGAGCACTGGAATAGGAATGATACCCAACAGCCTAGACTTGAGGTGAGGTGGGGGACTCAGGAGAGAGTTTTGGCTTAATTAGTCCATTACCTATTTACAAAAAGAACTAGCATACATTTTGACTTTCAGCAGGGATTAGCATTGTTGATCGAAATAATGATCATAACTTAAGGTACAAGTAGTCTGACTTCAAAATAAAAAGAAACAAAATCCTGATGTACCCACCGGTCTCAAGATTAAGAAAAAGAATATATACTCAACAAGACCAGGCATCTTCAAGTCTGACCGCCTGGGACCAAAATACAAGCCTCGCGGGATTCCTACAGAGTTGGATTTTCCATACTTTACTTTTTACCATTATTATTTTAAATAATTAATTTTCTATTTTAAAAACATTATTTTTAGAACTGTGGCAATAGACCATATTTTTCCATACTTTATTTTTCATTTTCCATACTTTTTAAGACCTGGAAATTTCTCAAATTTATTTCCATATTTTTCCATACTTGCGTAGAAACCCTGAGCCTGAGAAGCCTGACAAAACAAAAGTGCCTGCTCTGCTACATCCTTCACACAGGAAGCATTTGTGCAGCCCAGTGTAATGCCTGCAGCTCTGCTAGAGAGCTTCTGCCACTAGTCCTCAATGATTTACTCTGAGTTTGTCTTGTTAATGGCAATAAAAATCAAATGTTTCCTTTCAGACAAAATTGATTTACACTGACTTTGAGTTAAGATCTTTAATGCTGAATAACATTTAAAGGCAGTTTTAAGTCTGTTTTGTTAGTGACTGTCATATTTCATACATAGACAATGGCTTTGTTTATACAGACTACTTAAAACTGGAATAATAGCCAGAATCAGAATTAAAGCACTTCATGTAAACAACTCATTTGGATCAGAAAGGTCCAGTCTGACCCCTAGAGCAGTGGTCCCCAACCACCAGGCCCCAGACCGATACTGGTCCGTGGATCAATCAGTACCAGGCCGCAAAAAAAATAACGATGATTAAATTTTTTTTTTTTCTTTTCATTCGTCCTCCCAGTATCTTATTTTGAAAGACCACCACTTCCGCCATCGCCTCCCTTCCCCCCTAACTCTTCGGCTCGTCATTTTCCTGCACCAGCAACACAAGCTAGCCCTTGCAAGAATGAGCCAGGAACAGAGTTCACTGGAGAAAGAAAGGGTTGATTCTGCATTATGGTGAGTTGATGTTAAAGTGTAATGAAAGTGCCTAATATAAAATGCAATTGTTGTATCCAGATTACATACTATGTACATACTATGTACTGATCAAGGTTTTTGTTATTGGAACCTCCACGCCCCTACCCGGTCCTTGGAAAAAGTTTCCTGCATGAAACTGGTCCCTGGTACAAAAAAGGTTGGGGACCACTGCCCTCGAGGAGAAATCTTAGTCCAATGGTGAGGGTAGGTTCATTCTGTTGAAAATGTGGGCTGTTATTGATGCAAACACTTACAACAATTGTTGCTACCTGATGGGAGTAAACCCATTTCTTATTGCTTAAATGCTCCACATGGCTTGACGTTTATGTGTGCTTCTGTTACTGCCAGTATCAAAGTAGCAGGAGCAAAACAAAAATGATACAAGAGCAACAATAGTATTTGACAGGAGACGATGCAGAATACTTGGAGTCTTCATATAATAAAATATTTATGTATAGAACAAAACAAAAATTAATTAAATTACATTTCATTAAATTGAATAAAAAAAATTCAGACATGAACTAGAGGGTAATTGCAATCTCTGGTGGTTGGTTATATTTACATGTATATAAACTTTGAAAAATGTAGAGAAAGGTATTATTTTTTTAAAATTGTTATAATTGACAAGAAATCTTTTTTCAGTGTCCACGTCCTGCAGGAAATCAGGCATTTAAGCAAACATTTTTTGAGACACCTAACCTGTAGATGTGTAGCACTACAGCAGCACTTAGTCGGCACCTCAGCTGCTCTATCCTGCTAAAATAAGCACCTCAACTAAAAGCAAGGAGTTCCACCACATTCACACTCAGGTTTATAGTGTAGTCTGAAACCATCTTAGTGGCAAAGAGTGTGAAATAACCTTGGATAGGAGGACCACAACAAAAAGGGTCTGCACATTAAAGTCTCTTTCACTGAGCATGTGGGTGGTAGAAAGAGAGGAGCAAGGACTTCATACAAGGGGCATCTGTTTACAAGAAATCAGAGTTAAGGTGTCAACTGTGTTCAAAGTCTGATACTTTTGACTGAAGAAATGTATGAAATACACAACTGACACTGTGACCTCTGCAATGTGTTTGAATGTCCCCTGGTCAAACTGAAACAATCAGCAGTGGAGGGAAGTTGACAAAGCCATGAGACCTTGCTGCTTGTTAAGACTTGTTAGCTCCATGTGACTGCCCAAAGACTGACACACAGAACGATTCAACACACAATAACACGTGAAGAACAGGATCAGATCCTGCTGCTGCCAATTGGTTTTACATACTTTTAACAGAGTTTAAGTTATGCCATCATAACAACTAATCTTTGTACAAACCCCTATTTAAATGAAGTTGGGACACTGTGTATTCATGAATCCCTTATTATTTAAGGGCATGTTTACCATTGTGGTACATCACCTTTAAGATAAGACAACATAAGATATACTTAATTCATCTCCCACTGGGCAAAATTCTCTTGTTGCAGCAGCTCAAAAACAAGGAACAGGGGAGTACAACACTGTACTTAAGGTTTGAATTGAACATGGACACGGACACACCTCCAGACCATCACAGATGCTGCCTTTTGAATTTTTACCTTATAATAATCTGGATGGTACTTTTCCTCTTTAGCCCAGAGGACACCACATTCATGATTTCCAAAAATAATTTGAAAAATTGACTCATTAGACCACAGCACACTTTGTCATTTTGTGTCAGTTCATCTCAGATGAGCTCAGGCTCAGGGAAGCTGGCCGTGTTTCTGGCTCTTGTTGATATTTGGCTTTGGCTTTGTGTGGTAGACTTTGATGTAGAGAGGAACTGTCTGAACTAACAGTGGTTTTCTGAAGTCCTGCTCAGCCCACCTGGTAACACCCTTTACAGAATAATGTCAGTTGTTCACCTGAGGGATCAAAGTTCATGATAATTATATGTTAGTTTTTAACCTTGCTGCTTAGGTGCAGAGAGTTCTCTGGATTCTCTGAATCTTTGGATGATATTTTGCACTGTAGATGATGAAATAACTTCCATTTCTGCAGTTTTACATGGAGTAACGTTGTTCTTAAACTGTTGGTCTATTTGCTTAGACAGTTGTTCACAAAGTGGTGAACCTCGCCCCGTCTTGGTTTGTGAGAGACTGAGCCTTTTGGGGATGTTCTTTTTATACCCAACTATGACCCTCACCTGTTTCCAATGAGCCTGTTCACCTGTGGAAGGATCCAAACAGGTGTTAATGAAACATTTCTCAATTTTCCCTGACTTTTGTTGACCCAGTTTTTTGGAACATGTTGTAGGCACCAAGCTCAAAATGTGTGAATATTTTCAGAAAACTAAACAAAACAATGAAGTTCATGAATTTGAACAGAAATATTTAGTCTGTAAAGTCTATTCAATCCCAACTTCACTGGAATCAGGGTTTGTAAATGTACTTGGCTCCTTCTATCAGCACACATGCATTTAACACTGAGTCAGTGGTACCATACCACCATCCTCTGGTGACACTTGTGTAGGAGTGATCTTATTCACAGTATGTGAGTGTGTGGTGTGTTTGTGTGTGTTTCCTTACTTTGTGGTACAGTTTTCTTAATTTCCTCTCGTAGTACTTTATCCATCCTGTTGGTCAGCGCTGAGCTCAGGGCATGGCTAATTTGCTGGCTGAGGTGTTCCTGGAGCTGCTGCTGATGATTCTGACTCTCTGCAAGAACTCGTTCTAGTCTGCACTCTGAGGTCATGACAGGTAAAGGCCCATAATGAAAAATCATCAATCCTGGAGCAGGTCTTGTTCAAAAAGACATGCGTCAAACTAGTAAGTGCATAAAAAAGTTATGCATGATAAGTTCAAGTGTTTAAGCTAACCACCAGGCAGGAAACACTGTGGACAGGTTGACAGATGTTGCTACCAGTTGTACTCTTAGGGCCAATCCCTATTGTACCCCTTAACCCTTGTCTTACCCCTTTGTCCACGGTTTTGTGCGTTAGCGTCAAGCAAAGGGGTGTCCCAATTCTCTGTAAGGTCAAGGGGAAGTGCTAAGGGCGGGGGGTACACACCCCTTGATAGATAAAGATAAACCAGAACCTCAATGTAAAGCAAGGAGTAAGACTTTGATATGATTTTCATAGTAATGACACTTATGTTTTTTAAATCAGATATTCAATCTTTTGCTACTCCACGTAATCATTAGCTATGTCTTGAATTGTTTGCGTTTTACATTCGCACATTGACGAGCTAGCTAACGAAGCTATAGCTATTGATAGCTACAATGATGTCAGACTCGGGTGACAAATTCACCCCAAACGACAAGGCATGATGACGTAGCAGGAATCGAGTGGCGTCTCGTTTCTTAGGGACATGTTTTCTCCCCTTCCCCTTGGCTCTCAAAACAAAGGGCCTAGGGGACGGGGTAGGCAAAGGGGTAAGACAAGGGGGAAGGGGAAAGAGTGACAATCTGGACTAGGCCTTAGTCACTCCTTGAATAGGGATGGGAATTGTTCAGATTTTATCGATATCGATGTCAATATTGATTCTGCTAATCGATTCAATGCTTTAATGGTTCCCTTATCAATGCCTCTCTTTGCTTAAAAAAAAAAAACTATAGGTTTTCACCGTTAACTCAAAATTTTATTGATCTCTGATAACAGAAAAAGATGTATGCCATCGCCAGTGAGAGTCTTAAAATAATCAAACTGAAACGCTATTTGCATACCTGCAAGTTTCAATGCAGTGCCTGTGAGGCTCAGCAAAAACACAGGACTATCTTAAGTTCAGTTGTTAAGAAACTTGGATACTTTGAACAAAAATAGTGATCCGATTCTTGAATGAACGTGGACCATGCAAACTACGGGAGAAATTACAATATGGGAGGTAGGCAGGAGATAGGAAAAACGGATGTTGACAGGTATGGACATTTGTTAGGTTGACCGTATTCTGAAGCCCCCAAAAGAAGACACAACTACAGGGGGTGGAAATTATGAGGGTTTTTTTGTGTCGGGTCGAGTGTTTTTTATGCACTTCTAACTCAGTTAAACCCATATTCTGAATTCCCAAAGACAGTGCATGTGTGCGTCTTGTCAGTGGCTTTGCTTAGTGAGTGGAGGGGCAGAGCTGCAGAAAGCACTCGTGTGCTGCACAATTTGATAATGAATGAATACACGTTCTGGACATTTGAAGGATTTTAAACTCCCCCCCGGCAGCCCCCCAAAAGAGGACATGACCGGGTAAGAGAACGTATGGTCACCCTATGTGTACCTTCTATGCCATGCTGAGACAGAGCAGCAGCGGCTGACAACTGGCGGAGACTATCGAACACATGTGAGTCCTTATATTTGCTGCCGTGCCCCATTGACAAATGTTTAAGCATGTTGCTGGTGTTTCCACCTTTGCATGTTATCATTGCTCAACAAACGTTGCACTGTTGTCGTCTTTCTTGGTAAAATTAAGCCACGCTTTAGATTGTTTCTGCCTTCTTTTTGTACCGTCCGCCATGTTTTTCTCTTAATCTTTGTTCCTGTTCGCGTAGACCGTTTTTCAATGCACACGGAAGAAAGGAATTGTTACAGGAACCGTTAGGATGAAACGTAAATGATGTCAATGGATTGAACCATTTGGAACCGGTTCTCAACAAGAACCGGCTCTCGATTCCCATCCCTATCCTTGAACATCTTTTAGAGAGATCAATTAACCTAACGAGCTTGTCTTTGGACTAGAGGGAATCTGGAAGGTCTGAAGGGAAACAACACATGCATTGGTAGAATATACAACACCCATACAGAACGGCAACAGTGGGTATCCTTGTCAGAGTTTAGACCAGCCTTAACTGAAGTGTACTACTAAAAATTTGCAGGTCCTTGGCAAGCCTGAGTAACAGATATCAATCAAAGATTCAGAAAAGTTTGGGAGGCAAATGACATTAAAAAAGCAATCTGAAGTTTTGTGAGAAGAAGGATACGTTCTTGTTCCTGGCGGGTGGTCAGAGTATGCTCTACCTGGGACAAAATCGAGCTCTGCATGGCCTCAATTTGTCCCCGCAGCTCAGTGAGCTCTCTTTGCTGGCTACGCAGGAGCATCAATAACTCGTCTTGTACTCCTGCATTCAACTATAGAGTGGAGAAGAGAACAAATGTAGTAAGTCAAAAGAAAAAGTGTAGCGACAGCTGAGTTTAATAAACTACAATAACACTGGTTCGATTTCACTGTTGTTAAGTGCCTGATTGCATTGTTCTCAGAGCCAAAACAAACACCCAGTAATGTTAGGGTGCAAACTGGTAACAAAATAATAACTGGAGAGCCCATAAAAAAAAACATAAAAACATTTTCACAAATATCAAACAACTGCAGCAATTCATGCATAAAAAGACAGCTGACCAAGGTGATGATCCTCTTACCTGACTCAAGTCGATTTGCCTGATCTGACATGACTCACTAAACAGAAAGAAGAGGAATGCATGAGGAACTTTGACTGTGATGGACACCAGTCTCATATTTGTCATATTTGTATTTCTACAGATTTCTGCAGTTTTTTTTTTTTTTTTTTTTTAACACAGACAAAGCACAAATACATTTGAAGCTTAGCTGAAATTAAGACTACTAAATAAGTCAAGGGGTGGGGGATACTCTTTGATTGCTACTTCTTATAAGGAGAAGGGAAATTTATTTCAATGTGTAAGATGAAACTCGTGTGAGCCCCGGCTCCAACCTTCTGACAAACCTGTCATCTTTCTTAGTCTTCCTCTTCAGCTTTGGTGATCCTCGTGGTGAGGTCTTCCAGTCCTTCACTGGAACTCTGTGGGAGGAGCGGCTGCCACAATTGCCTGAGGATGATGCCAGACTGGCTACTTCCTCATCAGGGTCACTGTATCAAATGAAGAAATGCAGAGTTAGAAAAGCTGTCTATTCAGTATGTTATATAATTGAGTCCATGCCATGCCAAATGCTCTTTCATTGTCTCAGACTCAGTGACTAAAATAAAACCTTGATGGGCCAAAAGCGGTTTGAAATTGGTAATAAACCTCATTTGAGCAGCAGCTCCTCACAGAATACTACATGCTGACTCTACATCTGTTTCTTCAACAACAACAAAAATGATGTCTTGGTTGTGTAACCTCTGCTCTGCACCAGCATCCAGACTCTCATTGTGTGTGAGGTGATAGGAGCGTCGATGATAGGGTGAGCTCAGGTGTCTGTCCTTAGTTTCTTGGTCTCTTGAGCTACAAACGAAGCAAAGAGGCAACAGAATTTTGGTTAATCAATCTATCCATGTATGACCAAAAGTTTTTAAACAGAGATCTGAGTTCATTGGTAATTATTTTTCATTTGTCATGTGAACGGAAATTTTGACAGGCCAACTAAAAAGTCAATCAGTGTAACAAAAATGACATTATGTTACAGGTTACTTGACATAATACTCTGAGGAATGAACACATTCAGTTCTTCGTGTAGATGTTTATTGTTCTATGTTTTTCTTACCAGTCTCCAAGACCATTATCCCTCAGACTGTTCCTGGTTTCTCTAGTGATGTCAGGTGCAGCAGGCCAAGGTGTGTGGCTAACACCGCCATCTGCTGATCCAATCCCAACCCCAGGGTTCTCCTGTGACAGAGCGTTCTCCAGAAGAGATGGAGTGCTGCTAATTCTTGGTTCTGGCTCCACTGCTCCCACCACTGGCCCATCTGCACCACCAAGTTCAAGGGGCAACAGGCTGAGACAGAAAGTACAATGGTTGTCTTTATTTCAATGTCATACTGGGGTTTCTTTAAGTTTTACAGGAAACTTCAAAAAAGACCACAAGCTGACTTTACTTGTACTGTACTTGTGACATGTGCAATGATAACAAATCAAATCTGAATCTGAGCTCTTTTGGATGTGCATGCATGCCAGAAAAGAAACTGTGAATACCAGAAGTCACAATGTTACATAAGATCCAGTCTGTTTTCAGGGGACTCCCAGAAAAGGGTTAATCTGCTTTCCTGGGAGAAGACTTTCATTGGGGTCAGTTTCTAGTGCAGTTTCTATGCAGATGTGTAAATCTTACTACAATCATCTGTTCACCTCATACTGCCAGCTACCTCTATGGTAGAAGAGTTCAGCCTATGGTAGCATTGATTGCTGTGAAGTAAGGAGAGACCCACACGCCCATAATACCCCTGGTCTTCAGTCAAACCAGAACTCGGCAAGATTTGTCGACTTGATGGTGTTTAATCTTGTGAGCAAGAAAAAGTTCAAAAGTACCTCTAGATCAAGATCTAGATCTACTGATCCAGCATGAACTGAAGAGGTGGCTTTCTTTTTTAACCAATTTAAACCAGGACCACATGTACGCATTTCGACCGTCCAAGCCGGGAGAAGCGTGTACGTCATTTCATAACATTCTGTAGTTTTTCAATCATTTCTGGGGCCATGGTGAATCAAATCATCGTATCGCCATCATACTGCCTCTGATAAGCTAATAAAGCTAATAAAGCTAATAAAGCTTAATAAAACGATCGGATTCATGCTCAGATCTTGCTACGTGCTTCGTGAGGGAAGTAAACAATGACGGAGGTAGAGAGCAGTTTCAGAGAAGAAGCATCCAGCACTGTGGATAACCTCTTTATATTGAGTGCTTTGGCTCACACTATTGATGATTTCTGAGTGTTGCATGACTTTGGGTGAGCACAGACATGAACACACTGTCAGCCACGTATTTATTTATTTGTTTTAGTTTAGAGCTGCTTTTGTACTGGCACTATACTAGGGCAGCTGCATACCCTTTCAACACTTTATTTTTTATTTGTATTGAATGGACACTTTATCATGACTGCCACTTGTTTTAGAGAAAGCAAATTGTTATTCGCCAGTGCAGAGCCTTTACTTTTATTTATACAGCCGCTTTATTTCGTTTGAGTTTGTTTGTTCAAGGTTTTCCAATAATATGATGAAGGTTCAGAAAAATTAAAGAGTCATCTTGAAAGCCACATGTGTAAGCTCTCAAATACTTTTTGAATTTTGTTTCTATCTGCTACAGAGGCCAAGATATCCGCTTTTTGATGAACCTCAACACTTCGGAAAACCTCAGGATCAGGGGGCCCTTCTCAAAATTGCCCTCAGGATTTCAGAGGTGTGGCTCAGACAGGGTTCAGGTCTTAATGGGTTAAAGCCCTATCTTTGGAGAAAAACTCTGTTACACAACACTCTTTCTACTGATGTATACCAGCATACAGGGCCCACCTTACTTTATCAATCACAAAACAATAGTCCTCTAAGTACATCTCATACATCAGATTTAACGGTATGTATTTTTCATAACAGCCTTACAACTTTGATGGTCTTTTATTCACAGTAAGAGAGTAAAGCTCGATATATATTTGTGAGCTTTACACTTTGATTGTTCCTCATCAGAGTACCTGTTGTTGGCTGAGCGTGGTGAGGTCAGTAAGTGCAGTGCAGATGCAGCAGAGGCCATGCTGTCCGTCTGTAGGGCAGACAAAGATGAGGGATCCATGTTTGACACCAGTCCACGCTGGTGTTGCATGGTCTGAGATGCGATTTCAGGCATATCCTGGGACATAGCTGTGGAGGCTGAAGAAATGACATCAGGAGAACGGGCCCTTGTTGGAGAGGCCAGGGGTGGCAGGAGCGGGGAATCTAGAACCTGAGAGCTGTCAAGTGCATGAGGACCACTGGGGGGCACCAAAGCCTGGAGATGAAGATAAGCACAGTGGTAAATATGGGAGAGGCAACTCTAGAGGAATCTGGATGGTGTGTGTTGAGCCCTACCTGCAGATTCTCCAGTCCAGGCAGCAACACTGCAGAAGCTGCTCTTGAGCTGTTGGCAGAAGTGGACTGTGCCAGATTACTACTGCTGGTGTTTTCAGCTCTGATAGGACTCTGACTGACATCGTCCATAGCTCTGCAGAGAAACATAGACATAGTGAACTCAATAATACAACTTTGCATGCCTGACTAGCAAAGCAGGGGGATATAAAAGTATGATAGGTTGTATTTGTGATGGACAGGATCTGATCACTGTAAATGACGCTTTAACACGTTGTTACAGACCTATTGGTGGAGTCTGAGTTGCTGCTGATGGCTGTCACGATCGTCAGACTGCTGGCACTGCTACCAGGAGATGCTGGTACCTGCACATTAAAAAAGGAGGACAAAAATGTTCACTGATACATAAACTTGAAGAAGAGTTGGAGAATCTTCCTCTGTTGCTGTTGGTTTTTAGCTATAACTGTCATCTGTATGTTGACATTTTCCAGGAAATCACAGAATTTGCCCTTCCTCTTACCTCTCTGTCTGTTGCTTTACATGAACAATTGTGATAACCTGCTCAGTAAATGTCTATCTTTAAAGAAGACACAAACAAACAAAGGTTGAGCAGGCCTCAGTGAGTCCAGGTTAGGGTTCTGACAGGGGGTCATCTGATGCCTGGTAACAACAGTTCAAGTGTTTATAAATGCATGTGTGTGTGTGTTTGTTTATTTGTGTGAGTAGGGGTCAATTCAAGGGGCAGGATGTTGCCAGGCAACAGCACAGTGTTGCCTAGCAATTCTGTTTGTTGATGTTCACTATATGGTGTACAAATAAACAGATATTGACCTCAGAGCAGCAATGTTATTTGGTGATTAAAAGAAGATGTAAACAAGGCTCTAATGTGAGGTGTCCTTACTGAGGTGCTGGGGGTCATGAAGGCATCAGGGGTCATCAGCTTCGGCATGGTCACACTAGTGGGGCCCACACTCGACAGAAAATCTGTGGGAGCAGGGAGCATGGAGATACTCCTCAGGTCTGTCTGTGAGCCACTTCCTGATTCCTTGTCAGAGCTCTGGTCCGTTAGATGGTCTGAAAACGCCACTAAACACACAGAAAGAATGACCACTTAAATCTGCATAAATATTTGACATGCACAGAAAGCATAACATACAAAAAATGAGGAGCAAAGGGATCAAAGTGTTTGTAACAAGATTTTCACGAATCACAGTCTGTGGTGTCTCTGAAGGAGGTGACTGCAGGCTTACTACAATTTTTGAATCCCCTGAACTTTGTGCAGAGCCTACTACACTTAATACTAAAAACAGTCAGGGAGCAGATTAAGAAAGAAAAGCATGTGAATACTTAAACTTCCCATAGGGAACTTTGAACTTGATTTGAAAAATCGTCTAGTTTCTGCTGATGTCTCCCTGTCACCTGAGGCAGCGAATAAGTCCATCAGTGTGAAGATAAGCTGTGTCTAAATAGTGAAAACGGGAGCCAGTGGTCGGGTCAGGACCACTAAGGAAATGATCTACGGCACTCAGACCAGAGACGCCACACGCGCGTTCTTTCTCTTTATTTTTCACAGAAACGCGCATATTACTGTCACTACACAAACAGTGTTAGTGTCTTGCAGCAGGAGACTCCTGCAGACACCATGTCATGCTACAGCTGCAGCCACAGAGTGAGACGCTCCTCCACACCGGAGACAGACAGGCAGAGCAGCTCTGTGTCACTAACCTCAGTAGTCCTGCTGCTTCACGTCTGTCTCACACTTCACGACAGGCTGACCCAGACTCGCTTTCCATTTTAATATATTCACAACGTAAGTTGCCTCAAACTGCTCAAAAAAAAGTTAGTTTCTGGAGCCCTGACATGCGAGCAAAATAAGCAATGAGCAAAATATGGCCGAAAAAATCAACAAAAATGAAAACTCCCTCCAGCTGCTTTAAAGGGAATAAATGAATAAAAGGAAATGGGGGAAGAACCTCCAGGTGAAGCAGACGCTAATGACAAAGGGTAAAATCCCAGAAAGCAGAAAATACAAAAAGGCAAATGCAAAGATTTTCTATTGAATTCAACCTTTCACTACAAGATCCATACATTTGGGAGATATGTGGCAAGAAGTGCCGCCATAAAAAAAAAAAAAAAACTGAGACAGGCCAAAAACCTGAAAATGAAACTTAAAATGATAAAGGACAGAAAGGAGCAGGAAGGTTTTTGAAAATTAAAGAGTATTCAGTGAAGAGGTAAAAATGATCACTTCTGAGACAATCATTTAGGATTTAGTCAATCTCCTCTGATGGCACGCCATCCTTTAAATCTTTGACCCACTATTGTATTGTCCTGTCCTCGACTATAGGTTGTTGTTGTTATTGTTGTTATTGTAATTCATTTTTCTCTTTTGGGAATTGCTACACCTGCAGTGCAAAGTTCAGTTTTTATGTTACCTTTGTCAAGCCTGTTGATGTTTTCTTTTTTTCAAAGCTACATTGTGTAGTGAGACAATGTGTTTCTGAGCCTTTTTGTCCAAAAAGGAGATAACCAAGAGAGGTTCCCCAAAGGTTAAACATCGCTCATTTCCTCAACAAACAGAGACCAAGTTGTTCGTTGGCCCGGGGGGACATTTAGCCTCCAAAAAGCCAACTCAAATCATTGCATAAGACGCCTGTTACCTGTTCTTTTGGTGCAGAAAGGAAAAAAAAACTACAATGGGTATAATGTGGATGCTTGATGGACTTCACAATATGATGTCCCGTCTGTGCATGGGCATAGTGGACACAGGGTACGCAGGGACAGGTTCCCCCAACATCTAGTACTGCCTCTGGCCTTTTCTGGCCTGTAATCTTGCTCCTGAATGATCAGTCCCCCTCACATCTGAAATGAAGGCTACGCCCCTGTGTCTGTCTGTGAGTTACATCTGCTGTAAAATACTCTTCCCACTCATCTAGGTAGCCATTCAGCCAAAATTTCAATGTTGCAGATTTAATCCAGATTTCTCATAGATCAAGAGCTCCTCCTAGTGGTGTCTTTTTTGGGATTTTATGGGATCAATCTAAACAAGTATTCCCTGGACTTTTACCTAGAAATTGCATATTATCTATATTGTTGGATATTGTGTGACGTTTCTTTATATAGTCCTGGTAATATTAGAAAACTTCGCTTGGATTTCTTTATACACAAGAAAGAAGTGTTATGAAATTATAGTGTTGTGATGTTTCTCTGCCTAACCAAAAACACTATTTGAATCAACTCTTAACAATAGGTTGACAACCATCCATTTAAACTCAGGATGACAGCCTTTGTCAACATATCCTCCTGTATTATGTGCATGACTACATTACTGCTGTTCGAGTTTACCTCAAGACTAATTAGTTAGGACCAAGTGTCTGATGGACAGTTAATGAGGAGTTATACATTGCTATGATTTGTATTCACCAATTCATTAGGAATTACGGTTCAAATGACTTAACAAGCGATTTTATTTTGTATTATTTTGTATCACTTTATATGTCAGAGTGAGTCAGAAAAAGTGCACATGGTTACCATGGTAACCATCTATCACCAGCCATGTAAAAAAACAGGAGAAAACACTCTGTTGCAATCTTTGTATACTTGGGTCATTCAGGATGATGTAAAGTTATTTCAATTACAAAACTATAAAACTAAGTATCACTGTTTCAAACTGAAAAATATTCAATATGCGGAGCTCATGTTTCCTTTTGTGACAGAACCTACCAAAACACAGTGTCCATTAAAACCTCCTTACAGCATTGAAACACATCAGAGTTGTAATCTGTTGGCTAGGCACTATCTGCTGTACACTGTTTACTTTGCTCTGGTGCTCCTCAAGAACCCTGCTATATAAGTTATTATAACCTAATCAACAAACTGAACACCCATGTATTGAAAACCTGAATCCACTCTATTTGGAGTTCTTGGGATGTGACTCACCAAAGCCATCCTGAGAATCGGAGTGCGGCAAGAAGACTGTGGAGCTGCAAGTCAAGTTGGGCTGGAACCAGATCTGGACATCCTGCAGACTCCTGAAAACACAGATAGGTGTGACTGATTATGATCATTGTGGCTGCTTTGCTGAGTGTTAACAACTGTTGACACTGTTGAAGGAGCAGGGCAGTTGATGGCCAATATACTGTACGGTGGCCTATAATGCCTTTTTTTAACTTTAAAAATGAAAAAACAAAATTTTATGATAACAAATGAAAAATAAAATTGATGAATTTAAGTGTAGAACAGATGTTGATGCAAAAGTATCTGGTTCCCTATTGCCACAGGGAACTTTTGGTATGCTGTCCAGTTGAAATATACATATAGCAAATAAGAAAAGACCAAACAAAAAAAGGGTCCTCAAGGACAGTTTACTCTCAGTAATCAATCTGCAAAAAACAACCATTTGTAATGAAAATAATATCATGTTTGGTTCTGTGGTCGGTGGCTAGCTTTCTTTTTTTAGGTAGCTGAATTAGCAGGACCCTGATGAAGGGTCCTTCCTGCAAACTGAGACTCTTACATCTCTTGGGCAGACAAGCTGAAATGATAGAACTGATATGATTGTTAAATTCCTACGACAGGTCATCTATAAAGGCCAGAAAGGTACAAAAAAGTGTGGTATCTGACAAGTTTCGGCCACTTTGCCTCTGCAGCCTTCATCAGAGTAAACCAGGATGAAGGAGCCTACCATGGCAAAACCCATACAACTCATCACAGATGATGTCACACCAACGGGTTACAAAATGTTTTTTTTACCTCTCTGGCTTTTAAAGATGAACCGTCTTAAAAATTTATCACCAACAGGCCAAATGAACCTCTTTAGTATTTTATATTAGTGCTATTCTTTCTTTCTTTCTTTTTATTTTATTTCGAAAATTATTTAATCAAATAAGACAATAAAATACAAATCAGGAAGAAAAGAAAACCAACAACAATGTCCGAAAAGGAGTAGGATGAAGTTTAAAACTTATCGAGCTCCTACCCCCCTTTTGCCAACACAAATTTCTTTACTGCATATACAATAGTTTAAATGACTGCAGTAGTATCAGGGATAAAATTATTCAGACCAACCCATTGAAAACTGAAAACAGGGCTGTGTTGACTCAATAGGTCAACACAGACCCTCCTCATCTGAATACCTCTTGAAAATAATATTTTTATATGCCTTCTTGTAATTATTCAGGTTTGGACTTCGCTGAACCTCCATGCTCAGTCCATTCCACAAACTCACTCCACAAACTGAAATGCACATCGTTTTCAATGTTGAACCAGCAAAATGTACCTTGAAATTAAGCTCTCGTCTCAAATTGTAACCCCCCTCTTTATCACTGAACATCTTTTGTATATTACCTGGCAAAAGCCTGTGTCTTGCTCTAAACATAATCAGTGCAGTTTTGTATTCAACAAGGTTCATGAGCTTCATAACATGTGATTGTAAAAACAGTATGTTTGTGTGATCCAGATATCCTACCTTGTTAACGATTCTAATGGCTCTTTTTTGGAAACAACATAATGGTTTTAGATTACTTTTATAAGTATTACCCCAAATTTCTAGACAGTAGTTGATATATGGCAGTACAAGTGAGCAATATAATATATGAAGTGCTTTACGGTCCAAAATGTGTTTTGTTTTTCCCAGGACTGCGATGCTCCGTGCGACTTTTGTTCTTAATAATTTATATGGGGTTTCCAGCAGATTCTGTGGTTCAGTATTACACCCAGAAATTTATTTTCATGTACTCTTTCAATGTTAACATTATCTATCATCATTTGTACTGGTGTGTCTGTTTTACGGTTTCCAAATAACAGAAGCTTGGTTTTATTCAAATTCAATAATAATTTGTTTATATCAAACCAATGTTTTAATTTACTCATTTCTGTGGTGGTGACCTCCAAAAGCTGCTGGAGATTTTCCCCTGAACATAATACATTTGTATCATCCGCAAATAAAACAAATTTCAACACATTTGACACACTACAGATGTCATTGATGTAAAGAATAAACAATATTGGGCCTAATACTGACCCCTGTGGAACACCACAAGTAATGTCAGCCAATGATGATTTATAGTCACCCATCTGTACAAACTGCTGCCTTTCATGCATGTAACTTTTCAACCAATTTAATGCAACTCCCCTTATACCGTACCTTTCGATTTTTTTAAATAGTATTTCATGATTAATGGTGTCAAAGGCTTTTTTCAAATCTATAAATATTCCTATGACATATTTGTTGGTGTCAATACAGTTTGTAATTTCCTCTGTCAATTCCATAAGTGCCATTGCTGTTGAGCTTTTTGCTCTGAAGCCATACTGACTGTCAGTTAGAATTTTTTGACTTTCAATGAAATGATTTAGCCTCACAACAAATAATTTTTCCAGTATTTTGGAAAATTGGCAAAGCAAGGATATTGGTCTATAATTGGTGAGATGATGTTTCTCCCCAGCTTTATATATCGGAATAACTTTGGCAACTTTTATTTTCTGTGGAAATGAACCAGTTGTCAAAGATAAATTAAAGATGTATGTTAGTGGTTGTATAATGGAATCAATTACTTTCTTAATCAAGATCATGTCAATGCCATTCCAATCTGATGATGATTTATTCTTACACTTGCTGACAATGTCTTTGATTTCTTTTCCTTCTATGCCATTTAAGTACATTGAGTTGACATTACGAATAATATTCCCCTCAGGATCCCCACCATTACAATATGTCTAGGATGGCCAATAGGTCAGCGACAGTCACTGGGTGTACAGTTCATAATTGACCTGTGATCTACAGGCTTAATGTTTGATGGATGTTCAAGTAAATGAAGACTAAGAGATGTGCTGCATTTAACCCCAGCTCCTTTCCCTCAGAAAACTCTTTTTTGACATTTGCAGCAACATAATGTGGGTAAGAGAAGTATTTCAAAGGTTTTTCCAATCCAGGTTAGTGTATGGATGACATAAAGAAACAGAGAGCTTCATTTTTTGCTGATATAAACATGAACAACAATGTGCCAGTGAGACAAAGAGAGAGCAGGGAGAACATCAACATCCTGTAAAAGTCCCTAAATGTGACAGTATATGTTGACCAAGGTTTTGTTGGAAAAATGGTGGGAACTGACTGAGAAAGGTTTCATTACAAAAATCTTCATTTGGCCAATCCTCAACCCTTGATCTGAACCGAGCTGTGGGATTTGTGCTCTATTTCATCACGACCAATCACAGCTGGACTGGCTTTAAATGGGGTGATTCCTGTCACCAGCTAGTCATTTGGTGCACCTCTCTTTCAAGTTAACAAACCATATTGGCAACAAAATATAATGAGAGAACTTACTTCGTATGAACACAATAGAGTTTAATTTGGATCCCAGACTTGGACTCGGTGGGCCCTTGGGTGCCTTCTGTAAGAAAACAAACAATACCCACCCACAACATGTTAAGCACTAAGACTCAGTGTTAAAACATGCTCAAATATTGTCCCCTAAAGGTCAGAGACAGACACTAGGAAAGAAAGTAAACTGTTTCATACTTGCTGTTAGCGATGTAATGTGTGAAAGTGTGACTATGTAAGTGCACCTGTTGTTAAGCTTTCACTCTCCTCCTCTGCTGTGAGGACCTCAGTGTGTCGCAGTCTGCTGTGTGCCACGTCTCGCACCCCAAAGCTAAGCACAGGGTGGGTTAGCAGGAATTCTGACACTGCTGTGAAAGTGGCTTTTCCTTTCTCCAGGTCCTGCCGCAGCTCCATCACATACAGCACCTGTCAAATGATTAGAGTATTATTATGACAATGTGTGTGGCAAGGAAAATCAAGTCATATCAAAAAACCCATGGGTCACTTTCATCATTGGGCCACGCTTTTATCTCCTTAGTATCTTTAGAGACCAGATGAGACCAGCAAAGTGACAGGAAAACGGAGAATCGCTTTCATCTAAATTTTAACAGAGGAATGAAGCAAGTGGCTGGACCAAGTTGATGTTTTTCAGTGAGTCGACATCTTAAACAGACCTTTCTCTGTACGTCGGTGAGGATGAGATACTCAGCGGAGAGGTCGAGGCAGGCTTTGAGGCTTGGTAGAACTGAAGAGTTGAACACGTCTGGAGAAAATCTGAAGAAATAGGAACAAATAAAAGTAATGTGAATTTTTTTTTTTTTTAAATGATGTGATGTGCTTTAGACAGATAAAATGTATCATCATCATCAGGGCCTTTTGACTACAGCAAACAGGGTCAACATCTAGTTCTGGGGTAAAAATCATCTCTTTAGGGACTTCAGGAGCAGGGTCTGACAATTTCATTTACATAAAAAAAAAGTTGATATGTAAAATACTGGCAGCACAGACACCCACAGATAGAAGGGATAAGAGATTTGAGATTATATCTACAAATGCTAGACTAAGCACAGATGACACAGGGCCACAGGAACCACTTCCAGCTGTACTTTCTTTTGATCGAAAACACCTCATAATTTTCTAATAATCAACCTGCAGCCATGTTGAAGGTACATACTAGAGCCATCAGCCATCAGACTTTACAACTCTTCTGCAAACAGTAGATGACTTTTTGACACATGACAACTGAGACTACAGACAGTTGAATTTCCCTTCAGGGATAAAATTAAGTTATTCTTATTCTTAGAGCTATGTCAGGAAACAAAACTCAATCATGTAAAAAACCAAATCAGCTAAGACACAAGAAATATACTAATTGCCAGGGTAGATACAGAGTGAGAACATCTCACACTATCTTTACACTATCCCCACGGGCAAGATCTCATCACACCTTCACCTTCAGGTTTGTCACTTCAGAAGAAAGTTGACTGAACAGGAATGTTGTTATTTTTACTTGGTACACTGACAAACGTGAACATTAAAGGCTGCTGAAGATCATTCCAGAAAATCACCATTTTTAGTTTTTGTACGATGGTAAAATCCATTGCAAAAAAAAATAATAAGAAGAAGCAGCCATGACCTTTTTGTTGTGAAAAGGGCCACACAAACAGTCTCTAAGTGACAAAGACAAACACTGGCTCTTACCTGCCAGTCCTGACCAACCCACTTGTAATGGTAAATGGACACACCACACACACACACTGACGGCAGAGGTTGCTATCAACAGAGTCCATCAGTTCTTGACATATTTCATTTAAACACACCACACAGTGGGGCTCAGTGGGGTTCAGTGTCTTGCCCAAGGACACCTGAGCGTATGACAGCCCCTGGATCTAACCTTCAACCTTCCAGTTGGGAGATGACTGACTCCAGCACTGAGCCACAGTCCATTTGTGAGTGCAGACGCACACAACACTGTGCTGGAAACTTGTTCAAGATGCAGCACTTTGCATAAACTTTTCAACTGAGGACATGATAATTGGGACTTCAGCAACCTCCACGCTTGCTTAGGTCTTAACTGTGCAGTCATAGTTGCTTGGATTTATGTAGGTTACAGTGTTGAATGGACAATCTGTAAAACCCTCCTAATCCAGGGAAATCATATCCCTGTGATATCGAAAAGAATTTAAAATTATGAACAGGAAGTGAAGCAACAACCTGATGGTCTGTAAGCAAGTCCAGGAAACAGTGCACCACATTTTCAACTCCTGGTTCTGATCTGCCCCGGTGATCAGGAAACGCCAGAAAGGAACCCTACAACAGAGACAACAATAAGAAACCAATGCCAAAAATCAGGTGTTGCAGAATGTAAACCGTTTTAAGCTGTGTGCAGTCTTCAGTGCTGTTTGTACTGACTCTGGGTCCTGCCTCTTGTGGTTGTCACAGAAAAGAAGGCATGAGAGAGGACGTCCTCCATGAGGCCGCAACTCATGGAGACATCTGTAAAACGCAGGGTAAAATAACAGAAAAAAAAGAACATATGGGAGTTACAATACTGAACTAACATGTGAGAGTAAAGGGGCGTCAATATTAACTTAAAAAACATCCACCCTTTTTACCTTGGCTTGTCCTGTGTCCCTTCTATGTAGATTTGCCAGAACTTGATGTATCCATCATGGCTGGCGGTAGCCAACACAGTGCCATCTGGAGACAGGGCGCCTTCACTGACCCGCTGCAGAGGCAGACATGACATGGTTCAGCAAAGAATCACGATCTTGAAAGGGATATTCTGGCGTAAACTTTAAGTTGAGGTCAAACACCATAACACCAAGTTAGACACCCCCTCGAGAGATGAATGTTGCCAACTGCTTGCTTCTCCAGGTATACCAACTTTGGTAACAACCGCATCATAGCAATACACAGCGGTCTATTTCTTTGGCAAAGAGACCAAACACAACTCACCCACTCTCCTCCAGCAGCCACTTGTTTGTGGGGGAGCCCTGACAAGTCAATCACTGAGTGCAGCGGATCATTTCCTTGAAGTAATAATCATCATAATAATCATTTTGCACTGCAGACATGGTAGTTCTTCTACCTTAGCGTCTTGGTCTGATTGCATTTCCATGAAGTAATGATCATAAATTTTCTTCCTTGAGCTGCGAAACTCTACTGCACTCGGTGATCGACTCTTCAGGTCCTCTCAACGAACAAGCAGCTGCTGGAGGAGAGTGGGTTGGTTGTGTTTGGTCTCTTTGCTAAAGAAACCAGACAAAGCTAAAAAGATGTTTGATGGCTAGAACTATGGCTGGGACCCTATATGTACTGTTGATGAAGATAGGTGCTGTTCTGAGCATTATTTGTGGCTACAGAGTGGTGTTTTGGTTGAGGTTTGCACATGGCGACATAGACTGTTGTGTATTGCTATTGTGGGTTCGTTACTAAAGTTGGTATAACTAGAGAAGCAAGCAGTCTGCAACATTCATCTCTGGAAGGGGTGTCTAACTCGGTGTTACGGTGTGTTTGACCATGACTTAATTTCCCGCCTTAATATCCCTTTAACACTGAATCCATAGGCCCCCAAGCCCCAAATTTGGGCCAAAGTCAATTTCCGTGGTCCGAACGTAATACTTGGCAGATGAAAATCACATTAATTAGAAGACAAAAGGAGAGCAAAAGACTCCTTGAAGACCCATACACTCACCTGGGTATGTCCTTTGATTGTGATGAGGCCTTCCTTTACATCTGTAGCACTGACAGGCCAACAGCTGTTATTGGCTCTTAAAACTTCAAGATCCCACACCTCGGCCTAAATGCAGAGGAGATTCTGTTTGTTTCTGCCATTCTCATTCTATCTTTGAGCTCAGGAAGTATTTGTATGACAAGAATTCTTGTGTAAAGCTAAAATAACTTTCTACATTAACTTTCTTGATACATTGTTCTATCATTTCTTCAGATAAAACTTCAAGATGTTCTTCTAGTCCTGCACACACTTAAATGATCACAATGTTTTTAAACAGTATTTTAGATGAGAAATTCTTTGAAGAGTGTCTGGGACTAACTCTGTCCTCGTGTAAAAGGGCTAAGGTCTGGCTGGCGTCATCTTGGTTCTCCTCGTTATCATCTTGAATGAATGGGCACCAAATGAGGCGATGGTGTGAACTTAACGGAGTGTCCTCCGGTCGTTGGATGTGAACCACCACCTGGTCACTAGAAGCAGGATGGGTCAAGGATTGGTTTCAGTGATTATGGGTTAAAATGACTGCATGAATTCACAGGGCCACCTGGACTCCTGTAAAACTGGAAGTGGACTTGAACATAGAGAGCACTTTTCTGGTCATTGGGTAACAAACACTTTTCTAGTATCAAAAGGTAATGAAATAAAACTGAGAGAAAAAACAAGATAAACTCTACAGACACACATGGACCTGCAGAAACCCACACATCAGGATACATTATCTTGCTTCCAGTACAGGTAAGCTGCCAGACCATCAGGTTTCCTGCTTCATCTACACAACCCAGTAGAGAGGAGTCCAGATGGGCAAAAGCCAGATCTGTGACAGCTCCAGTAAAGCCCTTTAGTAAGGAGCGCTCAGCAGAACCCACATTCAGGACACGAACCATCGCATGGTTGTTGGCTCCTGCAAGGGAGAGATGTTCATTTAGAGGAAAACACAAGCCAAGGGACCGTCCACAAATAAAAAGAATTGTTGTTTTTAACACAGAGTCCGGCCAGGTATTCAATCAGCAGCCTAAGACAATGACCTAGAATTTAAGTGAGTCCATTTTAGCCAACAGAATACAGAAACAGGAAGTAATTACAGACAAGACATGAACAGAATGTAACGTCATTGAATAATATCCTGAAATAAAACTGATCAAATACAGCATATGTGGGATGTGCCAATGCTGTATGAGTTCTAGGAGCAGGGCCTTGGCATACAAAAAGCTACTGCACCTGAAAATCACATTCAGTTTCAGCTGGTCTCTATATTTTCTTTCTTAGTCTTGCTCTGTGGACTGTTGACAGAGAGCCTCACAACACTGACCGATGATTGCTGTCTGTAAGACTACATGTGTAAGGAAAAAAGGAAATACAGAGAGAGAGAGAGAGAGAGAGAGAGAGAGCAGAACCCTTTGCAGATACTCACACCACCACTCACCACTACTGCATTATGCTGATGATTTGGGAAAAATTTTTATGTATAAAACCGTATTTATTTTGCCCTCACTTTTAACACTTAGTTTACTGCTGATCTGTGTTGAATCACTTTTTCTGTACCAGCACGATGGACAGGTTTGATGCAAAACGAATCACAATTAACTGCTGTGTGTGCCTAGGAGTAACAGGGACGAACCTCATCAGTGTTTTCTCAAAACCTTTAATCATCAGATTAAGAATACAACTACAACTGTCAACTCCTGCCATCTTTCAGGATGAGCTGTCTCATAAATGAAGAAAAATAACTATTACTGAATACATATATTCTGTCCTCATTTGCAGAAGTCGGTCTGTCACAAGCTATTGTCTTGTGTGTGAGTGTGTTCGTTTCCATACAACCGTTTCACCCTTGCTTGGTCTAGATAGCTAGCTAATGAGTACTGTGTCATGTAACCTCGAAACAGACGGCAGGCAGGAGTGAGATACACAGTAGGAGAGCAATCAAAAAAAACAAAAAAAAACAGGGCTGGCTCTAAAGTTCAACCTCTATGTTCAAAGTCTTTGGCATTTTATGTCTCCAGTATATTTATATCTATGTAAAATACAGATACTATTTTTCAGTGCTCAAATGCTGTCTGCAAATGTCAGGGGCATTTTGAAAACACCTGAATAATACTGTATATCTCTATTTAAAAAAAATATACAAATACATATACTAATACACAATTTCTCTGGGAACAAAAATGTTGTTGGAGACCCATTCAGCCGTTCAAATTACTGCCTCTGGGCACTCGCTACATCAAAGAGTAATCAACGTCACTGGAAATATCTGCCATTTTTAGCCAGCTTTATCACATTCAAGATATTCTTATTGTGGGAGTTTATAATCAATATTTTAGATTTTTGGGTAATATGAACAACACTGACGTCTTTTCTTTGCATGTAATTTGTTGTTTGTTTGTTTTTATAATCACTCACTCTTGGTTTGTTCTGAATTTAGTAGAATCTCTTGGCTGATGAATCAGTTTACATTCTATTTCTGAATGATTTGTCACAACATCCTTAACGAAAACACAGTCTTGTGTTCAATAAATGTTGATCCTGTTTGGCCATTGGCTAAGACTCTGTTCCCTGATTTAGCCTGACACCCTCAACAGCCTATGCATAGATTTCGTTGTCTAACAGATGACAGTCAAAATGATCTGGTCTTCATTCAGTCTCCTCTAAACAAATTTGCTCTCCCTCCTAAAATGAGTTCTAGACTCTGTTCTAGCAAGAGAGACTTGTGTAGCCTTTCAAACACAATCCAGTCTGTTATCAAAGCAGGAAATAAAGTAGCCTGAGAATGAGGAAGTTAAATATTCAACACAAAAAAAACCCACCATGATCAAAAATTTTAAGAGACAGCCTCTAAAGCTGAAATAACAACTGGGTTTCTTAAACCCTTGATAGATATTTTGGAAACAAATCACAATCACTAAAACTAAGAGTCAGCGTCTTGCCCATGAGCAGTTCAACACTTAGAGCTCTATTTTCGTGAACGCCAGTGAGGCGGCGGAGTTTGGCGGACCCCGCACAGTTGTATTTTCGTCTGGCGGAGCCCAGCGTACAGCCAGTTTGGTATTTTCTTGGACTGAGGCGCACCAAGATCCGCCAAGCTGGGAGTGGTGGCATGGCAGGGGGAGGTGTCGACAGAATCAGCGGGTGCAGTGACATTTTCGTGCTCCCCACTGGCCTTTTAAGTGTGCTGAAAGCTTGCCAATTCAAACCTGGTCAGCTTTCAGCGCAGGCAGAGGTATTTTGGTAGACCAGCGGCGTATCAGCATACGTCACCGATGCCTCACCGGCAGGTTTCCACAGTGTCAGGCACATTTCAGTGCAATAAATAATCATCAACAACTAATAATCTGAGTCAGCACACACATTTAGATCTATATAGATATATTCTGATCTATATCTGATCTGATGAGCGCGTTTGGCACGCGTTTGGACACACAAACTGACCGAATCAACACAGCTGAAACCGCATTAAGTTAAATTAAATCCATCTGTGCTCATATGAGAGAGTGTGGAGGACACTTGTTGAGGAGCTGCCTTCTGTCGCCATCGTGTGGCATTGCTGTCTTAAGACATCTCTTGATCTCTTTGACTACTTCACGAAAATAGTAATACGCCTCGCCGGTGGCGGATTTAAAGGTGAGGAAAGATGCTGATGTTATTGGTCAACACAGGTCTCGGCTGTGTTAAATCCACTCCACGCCCTCTCTCCTCGCTCACTACGACTTACACCGCTGGGAGGAGCTCAGTTAGGGAGGGGGGATACTTAAACCGGGCTGTGCCGCTCACCAAAATACCAAATTGTGCTTGGGAACGCCTTGTTGGCGCGGCGGACCTGACTTACGCCACGCATGCGCCGCGTTGCCGGCGAGGCACGAAAACACAGCCCTTAGACTAAAGATTCTTACCACTGTCTTACTAAGTCTTAGACTTGTGAACAGCTCACTCTACTGGTGAGTCATCCATTGCCATCAGTTTTAAAAAAGAGCTTTAAACCAACAAAGAAGGCTAAGCTCCTGGTTTATGTGTCTTATTTGCTACCGAGGTAAAGACATAAAGCCTCACTTGCTAGCAGTCTGCTCTCTGTGCTTTAGACACAAATAACAGAAACGAACAACAAATTATAGTGAATTTTTTTACATATTTACAATACCTGAAACACATGTGCTATACAAAAACTGTTACTGTCAAATTAGAAGAAATTCCTCATACAGACAACACACCTTGCAATCATAGCTGCAGGCTACCTGAAGATAAAATTAGGAGATCTGACATTAAAATCTCAGGCATTTTTTCACGTTATTTTAAAGAACTTTAGAGCACTCATGTTATCTGCCTTTAAACAAATGCTTCTAGGCTGCTGTTGTCTCGTGCAGCTTTGTTGCCCCAAACTTGCCACACCAAGTTCATTATGTTGCCTTTGCTTTCAGTAGCTATTGACTTTTGACAAATTTCTCAGCAGCCAGTATTTGATTGTGGCCTGACACTACATATCCACTGCTATGGGACAAACTGTAATGTTTGATTTGACCCTTGTCTGGAGAGACTGTTACTTTGGGAAAATTCATTATGAAGTGGTAGCTCTGCACTAATATAAAGTTTTTAAGAAAAAGAATTGTCCTGCACCGTAAAGTTTGATTTGTTGATCAAATCAATTCATGGCACGCTCCTATTTAAACCCTATCAATCTGTTATAGTCATATTTTTGAAATATTACATCTCAAGCACTGTGTTACTGTTTGACTTGACAGATTTGATATTGGCTCTCACCTCTGATGGCGTAGGCTAGGAAGGAGTTGGACACAGCTATCAGTCTGCCATAGTAATACTTGTGTTCCCAATCGTACTTGGCAACAGGCTGAATCTTCACCTGAAAAAAAAAAGAAAAGTAATTATTCATGGTAAATATGAAAAGCTCCTACTAGAGTCTTTAAACAATAAGGCTGTGTTCTTCAAAAGCCAAACCCTATCCTCTTCAAATGAAGCACTGAGAGATTTTTTTTTTCTCCAAAAATTCAGAAATAATCAAATAAGTGTTTTCATAAAAGCCTTTGAAAGGAATTCTTTACAAGGCTTTTGATTTGTAGTTTTTAAACACACATAGGCTTGCCTCTTGAATGTGTGAAGCTCATGGTTATGTTGAGTGTTGACAACACCTAAATGATAAGCTTTTTTTTTTTTTTGCTGCTGATGCCTTTGCTTCATACCTTGTTGCTTCCACGGGCCTTGCTGTTTATGCCAGAATCTTGACTGGCCACGATCTCCACGTTGTTGGAGGTGATGGGAATACAGGTGGAGCTATCATCCCCAGAAAGGCAGCTACATTTGCAGCAAACACATTCAAGTTCAACATAGATTCATTTCTTTGAAAAGAATAACACTCTCAATAGAAATGTGACAAGAATATGGAGATTTACTGCACACAAGAGGTCTGAATTATTTCTTCTTTTTGTTTAATCCTCTTATTCATTCAAGCCTAAAACTTCAACAGGTTAGAAACCCCAATTCTGAGGAGACTGAATTTTCTAAATAGTGACTAAACGATACATCATTTGACCATAAAAGTATGATGGGTTTCATTCATGAAAGGGAGCACTGTGAATTTGAGAGGAAAGTTTCCGCAAAGGATATTAACGTGGAATTCATCATCAATATTTTAGAAGCTACAATCTTCTAGTGGGTAATGACTAAATTTACACCCGCTCTTAACAACCACTGTGAAAATCAAGAATGCTTGTTTATGTCAGAAATGCTCACAGTAGACTAATGCCTTTGAAACACTTGATATATTGAAATATTAGATATTACAGTTCACACTGACCAAATGGACTACATGTATATAGCTCACTCTTCTGACCGCTCAAAGTGCATCACACTGGTGGTTGTTCACCATTCATGGGATGTATGCTGATCACTGACAACTGTGCTGTGAATTAAAGGTCCTCCCTGTCTGCTCCAGCAAGCCCCGCCCACAGACAGGCGCTCTTGCTCGCTTGCATTGTTCCAATTAAACTCAGATATAATGCAGATAATATATTCAGATGATTACAAATGGAGCCCAGTCAACATGAAAGTAAAAAGCATTGGTGCTACTGTAGATGCCAACAGACTACCAGCAAACACAATGTTTGCAGGACTTCTAAAACTAGGATTAAGTGACATAGTCCAGGACCCGAGGTCAACAGTTTAGCAGCGCTACAACACGCTACAGCAGGTCCTGTTTGACAAGAAACACTTCTGTTACACCAGCAGAAAGGTTACAGGGCGCGTAAGATCCCGAAGCATCTCCCATTGTTTATGCTTCATTGATGCTGACCCGGCTTTTTAGCTCTTGCCTGGTCTACCTCCTTTTTAAGCGCCCGTTATTCCGCCAGAGTCTCTGGTATTTACTTTGTTTTCTTGCTGTGTTGGCAGTCGTGGCCAAAGGAGGATCTAGACAATTTTCTGGTTGGTTTTACTGTCCGATATTGTAGCACACTAACTTTGTTTGGGCTCGTCAAAGGACGTGGAGTGTGCCTTACAACATGAGGGAGCAGTGTCTGCCTTACAACCAATCACGTTGGGAGGTGGAAAACGGCTTTGTTTACAGTCAGAAAGAGCGGGCCGCTCAAAAAATTTTTAAATGTTGACTACACAGACATAACAAAACACAGCGATATCATTATATTACCAAATGTCATCAATGACTAATAGCTACTGACTGATATTAAAAGCTTTTTTACACCAAAAAAAAGATGATTCTTTTACGGATTCCTGCCTACCCCACCTTTAATGGATAACTGGCATTTATGAACATACTTAAGTACAATCAAATTGAGATTATCCATCGTGTTCATGGATTCAGACTTTTATGAACAAATTTATACACAGATTTACCAACGTTTCATGAATGAGACCCAGTGTAATTATGGCGCACAAATCCTCAAGAATTTACAAATCACAATAATAATGCATCCCCGCCACGTCAAATCTCACAATATGAGATTTTTGTGACCATTACTTTGCCATGTTACTTTCAAACATAAGGAGGTGATCTTTACCCTCATGAAACAGTCACCATAAAGCAGCATTTTGCAAACACCAACTCACATGATCTGTGTTTCCTGCATTGTGCTGAGGTCTGTGGAGATGGGTCTGGTGGATTCAGACATGGTTGATTGATCTGTGCCCCCTAGAAGGCCTGCTGCACCCAGTAACCCATTCAGCTCTCCATTAAAAGATGGCATTTTTGAACCATCGCTTGATTGTGTATCTGAGAAAAGAAATTGAATGCAAGATTATGTTAGAATATACTGCAGTTAAACAATGCAAGCTAGGAGAGAAGTTCAAGTCAGGTCGAGTTTGTCCTGGGGGGTTTGTAGTAGTAATCATCAGACAAGTATCATCGGCCAACAAATGAAAGTTGTTTTATCACTGGAACAAAAACTAGTTTAATCTGGATTAATGCTGTGTTTAGTGAGTCACTCTGTTTCTATATGCTGGTATGATTCCATTTGTAACTTCTTGAAAATAAATGTTGATTTAAACACACTTTACATGCACTTCTGAAACAAAACAAGACAAATATTTTCCAGGTTTATTGACATACGGGGCTTATTAGAAAAAGAAGCTATCAAACATGACTATCATGCTACAGTTTGTCAGAAAACACATTTTACCAGAAACCTACTGAAATGGCAACCTCTGGTCTGGTGGACTTCATGCATTGAAATTATATCAACACCACATAAATCTATCAGGGGTAATTTTTTCAGACTGCTGTGTCATCTATTTCGCCTTTATGCCAACAACTTCGAACTTTACATTTTAGATGTTGTATATTTGTTGTATATATTTTATTTTGGTGTCTGTCTCACAGAACCACAGTCATAGGGTCAGAATTTTCCCTGCCATGATATAGGCATTTCTGTTTTACAGTTAACTGCTCATCTGGCGTCTGGTGGTGATACATGATTAAGAGTTGAAATGTGTTGAAACATTTCAGAGTTGAAAGAGTTGAAACTTTTATAAATGTCCCTGTCATTTTAAGATAGTGTAGGACTAACTCGGATAATAAATATTATGGATAAGGAAAGTTATACGAAACAAAAGTGCAAAACTCTGAGGATTGTGGATTGTTACCACTATTATCTTTTCAGTCATATCATATTTTGGGTTTAGGATGGATAAGATTTTACTCGTATGTAGCTTTCACTCCTTTGGAGACCAAAGTTAAATAAGAACAGTGAAAAATACAAACCACAATCCCAAAAACAAATAAAACATTGTTTAAACCGTGAGTTCAAACTAATAGATCTCATTGGGGTTTTGTTTTTCTGGCAAATATCCACTCATTTTGAATTTGATGCCTGTAACACATTCTAAAAAAAGCTGAGAGAGGGTCATGTTTACTTTGGTGTTACATCACCTTTCCTTTTAATAACACTCGATGAGAGTTAGGAAACTGAGAAGGTGAAATACTTTCCCATTCTTTCTTGATGGATGACTTCAGTTGCTTAACAGATTAGGGTCAATTAGGGATGGGCAATAAATAATCGTCAAAAAAATCCTCCATGATAAGTATTTGCCATCTCATGATAAATACGATAAATGCAAGTTGATGATGTAAACGCGAGCCTAAGTGTGAGCTTTTACAGCCATAGCCCACACCGATCAGAATAACAAACATACATGGCTGAAGGTAATGAAGACGTTTCTGAGCAGCATGTTACTGAACGAGGCTCCACATGAGGGGTTTCCTTCAAGATTGGAGTTTAGATGAGAGCAATCAGGTTGGCCTGACATCGGACAGTAAATCCGCTCACTCTGTTCAAGTCTCAAATGTGAGACTTTTGATGTCATTAGTTTTTTCTATAACCTACCATTCAAACTTGTAGCTAAGTATCTTATTGGCTACTCCAACCGGTGTTCTCAAGACAAAATGAGTCAAAAATATAGACTGGAATTATAATGGTTTTTATCGGGACATTTATCATCCTGCCAGAATGACAAATCTGAAATGTGGACTCATCAGACCACAGCATACTTTTCCACTCTGTGTCAGTCCACTCAGATGAGCTCAGGCCCAGAAAAGTAAGCAGGCATTCAATGTTGTTTCTTTGGCATTGATGCCCATGATCTTATCAACTGTAAATGATGAAATCCCTAAATCCTGTTCAACTGTACATTAAGAAATGTTGTTCCTAAACTGTTTGACTATTTGCTCAGGCAGTTGTTCATAAAGTGGTGAACCTCGCCCCATCCTTCCTTGTAAATGACTGATCCTTTTGAGGATGCTCCTTTTATACCCAGCTACACTCACCTGTTTTCAATAAACCTGTTCACTTTTATAATAATGTTTTTGAGAATTCCTCAGTTCTCCCTGACTTGTTGCTCTGTCCCATCTTTTTAGGAAAAAGTTGCAGGTAGCGAATAAAAAATAATACTATTATTCTTACTTTAATCTTTAAATATTTTGTCTTTGTAGGTGATTCAATCTAATACAGGTCAAAAAGGATTTAAAAATCACTGTTTTCTGTTCATGTTTAACACAATATTCATAGTTTGGAAAGTGAATAGATCAAGATTAAGCTCCCAAAAACTGCAGGGCTCCCAAAGCTTTATTGATATCAGCTACATGTACAATAATTCTGATGAGACTACAGAAGAGAAAGGTCATATCCACCCCCTGCATAAGATGCTATTACAACACAGAGGCACCTGTTGTGGAGTGCAAATATGTTCTCCAATAGTTCAGCTGGGACAATGCAAAAATCATTGCTCAAGTGAAAGCTTACATTTTAATTTAATCTGTCGTTCAGAGTTACAAAATTATTCAGGCATCTGAACAAAAAGAGAAACCTTCCTAAAATCTTTATTCTCTGGGTTTGTTTGTAGTTGTTATTAACTACTGTTAACATGGTGAACGTGTTTTGAAATACAATGAACTTGTCACCCCTGCACCGAGCAAAACAACGCGACAAGATGATTATCGGAGTTGTGAATTTCCGTCTACCTAGAGAGACACCTTGCAAGATGAATTCATATCAACATTACCCTTCTTTATTTTTCTTCACTGCACCTAAACTCAGTCATGTCATATTCAGGCAGGTGCGAATCTCTCTATAATTAAACTTCTTGAGTCAACGTGCAGCAAACAAAAAAATAACAAACAGCACCACATGACTGCGTAACCATCTACGCAGTCATGGTGGCTCGTGCAAATTCTTGATGACAGTACAACAATGATGGCTTAGCGGCGTGGTGTCGTTTTAAAGACACTCGTTCAGATATTTCTCTGCAACTAAAATATGCACGTGACGATTTTTGTCAACTTTAATGTCGCTTGGCATGCAAAGACATAACTATGTTGGACGCGAAAACAGACTGCGGCGTGAGCTAGCATTAAGTACAAGTAAGCTTCGTGTTAGGATGATAAAAAAAACACTCGATACCTTTTTTAATTCTTACGGCGCCCTGACCATTCTACGAAACCTCAACACATTCACTGTTACGGGAGTGCAAATTCACAAGTGACTGTATTGTGTTGTAACGCGATAAACCCCCTTTCGTTTTCGGATTGCGAAACTGTTTAGCTAACTTTATCGCAGTGTAGTGGCGCGCTAAAGAAAGTCATGTTAGCTCGGTACCAAACCAGCAAGCTAGCTGGCTGGCTAGCAGCGGCCTAAACCAGCGCAGCCGCTTTACGGATCGAACTTACCGGTACCATTCCCGGGTCGGTCGAGCTTCAGGATGTCCCGAAGATGCTGAGTAGCACCCTCGATATCTATATTAGAACCAGACGCCATTTCTGAGGGAAAGGGAAACTGGGTTAATTAGGGGACGAAAATCTCTTGTTTGATGCAATGCTGTATTTCTTCCCTTCGTTCACCCCGAGCAACCGTCTAAACTTCCGTTAGGTCCGTGCCTAAGGCTCCGACCAGAGAAAATGCGTAGTCATTGGTTCCTACCTCCACCACTCTGGCAGGCTCAAAGGGGCCTCTGTGCGTTTGTGCGTCTGGGTATGGGTGACAGGTCCGGGTACCCCCTTTGGATTATTTGTTTTCAATCGTGATCGTATTTGTATTTCGAAATTAAAAAAAAACTGAAAGTCGTGTAGCTGTCTAATTCAAATGAACCAAAATCAAAGCAGTTTTGTCAGTTTTTTTGTTTTGTTTTCTCATTTTTCCTTCTCTCCTTTTACCATTTTGAAATTGAATATTGAGAAGATTTCGTTGATTTTCGTTGAGAAGACAGAAAGCAGCAAAGTCTGATTATACTACATGGAATAGTGGAGTAGTAGACAGCCAAGGAAGCCATTAAGAAGTTTATATGGAACCCCTTTCACCTGAATCATGGATTTTTATGAAGTTAAAGGGATATTCCGGCGTAAAATTAATTTAGGGTCAAACACACCGTTAGACACCCCCTCGAGAGATGAATGTTGCCGACGGCTTGCTTCTCTAGTTATACTAACTTTAGTAACGACGGCATGATAGCAATGCACAGCGGTCTGAGGAGCCATAAACAAACCTTAACCAAAACAAAGAACATTGATGATCAAGAACATTTATGATCATCTCTTCAAGGAAATGCAATCAGACCGAGACACTAAGGCAGAACTACTGCGTCTGCAGTTCAAAATGATTAGTATGTGATTGTTACTTCAAGGAAATGATAAAGAAATGATCATAAATGTTCTTCCTTGAGCTGCATCACCCTGCAGCCGTCTGCAATGGACTGGCCTGAGGTCTCGCTACAAACAACTGGCTGCTGGAAGAGAGTAGGTGAGTTGTGTTTCTTTGCTAAAGAAACTAGACAAAGCTAAAAAGAAGTTTGGTGGCTAGTGCTGTGGCTAGGACCCTATATGTACTGTTGATGAAGTTGCTGTTCTGAGCATTATTTGTGGCTATAGAGTGGTGTTTTGGTTGAGGTTTGTTTATGGCTCCTCAGACCGCCATGTATTGCAATCATGCGGTCATTACTATAGTTGGTATAACTAGAGAAGCAAGCGGTCTGCAACATTCACCTCTTAGTGGGTGTCTAACTCGGTGTCACAGTGTGTTTGACCATAAATTAATTTTACGCCAGAATATCCCTTTAAAAAACCTTGCAAAGAATACTTTGGGAAAGCCTACAAGGTTTTAGTAGCTCATATAAACAAGGCTTTGAACTGGCCAACCATCAAACCTCATGCCATCATCAGACTCCATGGTCAGCCAGTAGCTCTCCACTCATTTGTCCCCTACCTCACAGGATGTCGTAAACTATGACTGACAGCCAGTACATGGAAGAGCTACACAATACAGTCAGCATGTGTGCTTCTATTGCCAAGCTGCATACAAACTTTGGGAATGGTGGGGAAACCTAGTCTGGCATCTGCTAATGACATTCCTTTGGAGACATAGACAAGTGGTCCTACCTTAATGAGGTGTTTATTCCAAGAATAAATGCAGGAATTGTATGTCCTATTTGGACTAATGCACCCAAAGCTATCAAATCCTGGCAGGTCATCATCAGCATCAGTGATAGCCCATATGCTGTAAAAGCACAGCTTTGCAAGGCAATCAACGGACCCTTATGGGAAAACACTCCTTACAGAACATTGAATGCTTAACACAGATCTCAGTCAATCATATAGCACTCAGAAAGCTAGATAGTGTTGGAATTCATGGAGTACTTTTCATGCTGGATTCGACTCAAGAAGGCTGTTGCTCGGATGCTTAAACTTAAGAATTTTCTGCTCAGCCTGTGTCAAAAGAAAGTAGAGTTAAATGCTGCTAAAGCCCCACCTGAAGAATTCAAGAAGATGGGAAGTTTCAAGGTAGACCTCTCAAGTCCAATAGGCTTACATAGGAGAATCTTACAGAAGCTGAGCAGAAAATCGTCTACCAGGGCTAAAGACAGACATTTTCCAAAGAGATGTCTGCACTTCACCAGTGTGCAAACATAAAAAATAGCAGCAGGATTTTTAAGATCTACCAAGTCCTCTAAGATGGCATTCTCGGGGTTGGAGGATGACTCAGCAAGCAGCCTTGCCAGAGGAATCAAAGCAACCAGCAATCTTGAAAAAAAGATCTTTACATCACAAAGCTGATACTCAAATAAATCCACGAAAATTTGTGTCACAGCGTTGGCAAACATGTGCTCTCCAAGCTGCATTGGGTTTCTGGTGTTAACAGAAGGATAGCCTCTTCTAAGTGCCTTGTTTGTTGATGCTTATATGGGGCAACTGGACAACAACAGATGGCTGACTTTCTACAAGATAGAGTCCTGGTAGACAACCCTCCATTCACCAACACTGTAGTAGACTCCTATGACTTACTTTAAGTAAAATGTGGACAAAGTACATTAAACAGATACAGAGTTATCTTTATATGCCTGGCAATTCATTCAGTGCATCTGAGGTAGCACCCTCGCTGGATATGGATTCCTATATAAATGCTCTCCATCACCTAGAAGCCAGAAGAGGTCAAGTCAAAATCACCTGCTCCAACAACCAAATTCATTTTGTTGGAGCATATTGAGAGTTAAAAAGAGACATCCAAAAATGGAACATCTCCAAGACAGAGAAGACAATGCATCAAAGAGACGTTCAGTGGATGTTCAATACTCCCACTGGTTCCCATCATGGACGTGCCTGGGAGAGATTTATTAAGTCTGTGAGGATGATCCCCAGTGCCACTCTGGACATTGGGAGGACCTACATACTCTTTTGTGTGAGGCAGAGGTGATAATTAACGGTCAGCCTATAACTACCGCTTCCAGCGATCCAAATAATCTAGAGGCCCTTACGCCCAATCACCTCTTGCCCCTCAAAACCAAGCCTCAAGTCTCCTGGGGCCTCATTTATCAACCGTGCATAGAAAAGTTTCTAAATTCTGGCGTAGGAATGAAATTTCGAATGTGCGCAAGTACAAAAAAATCTGTATTTATCAAACAGGCGGACACCAGTTGTACGCACACCAGTAAGTAATCAGTGATGATAAATCCCACCTGTTCTTTACTACCATGCTCATGCATGGTTGGGGTCATTCGCATTCAGAAATGCCTCCAATTGACCATATATGGCATCAACAATACCTTTAAAAATGCGTGAATGACTTTTTTCCTCCTTGCCGAAATCATAGAGGTGCACACTCACAGAGCTGTTCTACAGAATGAATGAGTCGTGCGCTCCTCCAGATAACGTTTAACAGATACAAATGTGCATCACAGATTATCTGTGCATTGATTTAATGAAATCTTTTTCTGTTGACAAATCTGAATTTATTGTGTGAAGGTGCTTTTATTGCGATGTGGGTGCAATCTATGGCTCCAATTATGTATGGGAATCCGGCGATGGCGTGAAATCCTCGTTTTATTTCGACTTGTTGTTGATGTGTGTTTGGGAAATGGCTGTAAATTGAGGCCAGAGAAATTATTACAGCCAACTCTGCCGACATGATTCTGCTTAGTGTTGGCAGCAAAATATTGCATATGTCTCCAATCTCACGCTGAAATGTTCCAGTTAGGGTGGACAGGAGCTAGATGTGCACTGGGATGGCTTTGGTGCGTTTTGTCTCTTGCTCCAACACGGGTCGTAAATCACGGCATAAATCCATTAAAATGTTTTGGGGAAAGCGGTACCTGCTGAGAATGCTGCTGTTCTGACTGAACAGATCAGCGCGGTCTTTAAAAACGCGCTCCCTGCGGAGCAAACGGTTCTCCAAGTTCTCCAATAGTGCAGAATAAACCATGATACTTGTATTTGTACTTGTAAGACTTCTTTTGAGGTTGTCCTGTCACAGCAGATTTTTATAGCTTGTCTCACCAATCATTCAAAATGTCTGCTAAATTACTAACTGATAAATTTTGTATAGAGGCTACAGAGAACATGTGTGAAGTTTGAGATTGCTAAATGCTGTGACTCCTTTAATGGGTTCTATTTGTAGTTTCACTGTCCTACCACTAGGTTTTGTGTGTACGCATGGTCAGAGTTGTGCTTCAATTTACGCACGTTCCTAAGCACAAGTACAGGTTGATAAATTCCATACTTTGCGTGGGAATGTTCGTATGCACTCATTACGCACACATCTGTGCGTACGCACGGTTGATAAATGAGGCCCCTGGTCTGTTTGACAAACAAGACATCCTAGAAGGAGGTGGAAACAGCCTGTATTTGGCAAATATATTTTGGAAGTGGTGGACACAGGAATACCTAATGCAGCTGCTAACGGTCTCATACATCTCAGAACTTTGACATTTTATTTTACTTACTTTATCTGATCAAGTCTGCCTATAGTCTTACTAGAGTTTAATCATCCAACCCAAATGAGAAATGATAAAAAGATTATGGAGAAACCAAATTGGAGCTTGCTTTTCGCACTTTGCATGAAACAGAAAAACAAATTGGCCATGTGACTTTGTTCTTTGGTTTTTAGTTTGAAACGGTAAGAAAGGGGAGAACACCACTGTTTTTTTGGCTAAAACAGAAAAATGAAACCGCAAGAACATTTCAACCTGAAAGAACAGTCTCCTTAAGTTCTGAGCAGGGTCCAGTGAACAACCAGCAAGCCTTGATCAGAGGACCTGAGTCCTGCTGGAGTTGTATGGCTTCAGCGGGTGACTGATAAAAGCTGGAGTTTTGTCATGCATTGCTCAGTACACAATCACAAGTATTTAAGACTGAATGGGGCCAGTGCAAAGACTTGAGGATGAGTGTGGCATGAGACCATTTCGATGATGTTGTCAGAGGCTTTGCTGCAGCATTTTGGACGACTTGCAGGAAGTTCAAAGAAGTGCTGCTTAAACAGGGCAACAAAAAATAATAATTCCACCGAAATGAAACAAAAGCATGAACAATCATATCAAACTCATTCTTGAACACCATGGACCTGAGTTTCTATATTTTTCTCTTATGGTATAAGAATGAGTGAACCAAACCATTTACATATTGACTGAGACTTGATGCCTGGCCCAATGACCAAACATGACCAAGAGCTGAGATTAGAAACAGTTTTTTTTTTCAGCTGGAGAAAATCATCTGCCACCCATGCATTCATACAGTTCACAAAACTAAAATGGACAATGTAGAGCTATTATTGGGTTTACAAAACATGTACAGTTGGGTGTCATCTGCATTTATCGTCTATTGGAGTTTCACTCTGAAGAACTTTCAACGAGCCACGAATTTTGAGATGTCAGTGCATTTTCCACTCCTTCCTCCCTGTTAAATCCACCTGACATGAACTCTGTCCTCTCCTCTTGCCAATGCATTAGCTTGTGCATGTAAGTCAGAGTTCCACTTATGCTAATTTTTGTCCAGCCACACATTTTAAGGTTGGCATTGGCCTCCCTGGTAGAGCCTCCCTCAGAGTTGTCACAGGACACTGGCTCCAACTTTGAGATCTGCACTACTCCAGTTTCCCTTTTATTTAGAAATAGAAATGTAAATGGCCTTCATTGTGGATTCAAGATACATCTTTTCTCCCACACAGGGTATGCTGACAGCAGAAGAACCAGCAGCACCTTGATTGAAAACTGCTCAGCTGTATACCACAGAGGAGAGCAGAGTGTTAGGCCTTTAGTCAGTAGTTCTGTGCCATACAGTTCATTCATACACACCAGAGGCATGTGACCAGCCAGTCAGAGTAATCAACTGCAGATAAAAGTATGAAGTTACTGTTGAAATAGTTCTGCAAACCCCTGATTCCCACAAAGTAGAGTGGATTTAAAATACTGAGGCAAAGGTAACAAGGGGGTCAGGGGACCCTTCCCCAGGTCACTTTGAGTATCTAACCCTTAATTTCCCACACTCTGATGCATATTATTTATGTAATGATTTGTGGTTGAAACGTCATTAAGTATAAGAACAACACAGACCTACAAATACATCATTAACAACAATTCATGCTACTTTCTGCATGTGGCTCCAAGATTTGCCAAGTTTTGTTGTACATGGTCATTTTAACATGAGGTACCTTAATAACATCGTAGATAGACCTAACTGAACACAACTACATAAAATATTTTGGACATTTGAATTAAACTCACAAATATTGCATGACAAAATACTGTCTAAGCTTACAAATTAAGTTTAGCATGATGTTTTCACAGTTTGTGATGACTTGAGGTGTCATATCATCTGCTGTTGTTTGTCTACTGCATTTTATCAAGTCGAGCCATCAACCAGGATATCTTGGAGCACTTCATATCCATCTCCTCAGAAGCTGACTTTTCCAGGAGTACCTGGTACCTGCCCTCAATGCTAAAAACTACCAGAACTTAGTTTGCTGACCATAAGGGTTACTGTGCTTGATTGGCCAGCCAACTGGCTTGAGCTGAACCCCATGGAGGATCTCTGGAAAATCATTGATAAAGATGAGAGACACCAGAGAAACAATACAGATGAGCTTAACAACCTGGACTTCAATAACAATCCAGTAGAGCCACAGACTGTTTCAATGCCACATCACTTACTCGTGCAAAAGATACCCCAACCAAGTACTGAGTGCATCAATGACCAGAATTTCCCAGATTGCCATTTCTGTATTAGAAATCCTTTTTGGATTGGTGATTTGTTATATTCTAATGTTTTGGGAGAGTTTACTTTCTATTTTTGTCAGATGTAAGATTTTTTTAAAAAGTGTTTGCATTTAGATAAAAAAATTAACTTTTTCAGGACATTCTGAAATTTTAAGCTGTACATGTATAGCAGGATTTGCCATCAGTGTATAGATGTAGCATGAATGAGCACATGATAAGTTGTGCATACGCGCTTGGAGTGGTCAGGAAAAACTAGCATAGCTCTCTGGCCCTTTTGACTGATTAACTCAGGCCAACACAAACTCTGACTTCAACACTAGCCAATTATTGCTATGTGCATCAAATATTTATATGCATTTGTGTGACATTTCTCTTTCACACCTGGATCACCATTAAAATGAAGAAATCTGGCACCTTTCAGGTGATCATCAGTAGTAACACAACCACAGCAAGATTAATGATGGTTTAAAAAAAAATCAGCCACAGAGAGTAACATTCAAAGACAAGGCCACAACATTATCAAAAAGTCAAGGTTTATTGTCTATTGTGGTTGTAGACCATGTTAACTGCCTGACATGAGATGCATAAAAGAAAAACAGAAAGAGTGAGAGACTGAGTGAACTTGTGGGATCAGAGCCAATCACAGGAAGGTTAAATTTCATGTCCTTCGCTATTCTTTGGTTTGCAAGAGCAAAACCTGGCATAAAAAAGTGAAAGCTTGCAAAGTAAACAAGTACATGAGGGAGATAAAACGCAGTTAAACACACTAAGGCAAGACAGAAGTGGCATCTAAAAACAAGTTACAACATAGCGAGAGGAAAACTAGAAGCCAAATCTGAACCTAAACATGGAGTTGGAAACCAGTCAACAACAGTTCAGTAAACAGTACATTTTAATAGATTAGAATTAAGTAAAGAACGGCAGCAAGTAGAGCAGAGGATGAGTTATTGGCGCCAGTCAGCTGTTTGTCTTTTTGGTGACTTGAGTGTAGATATTGTAGTGGGAGGCTCCCAGCGTCATGCAGATCAGCAGAGTAGCAGACAGGGGCATCTGATTGGTCGGCTGGCTCTCAGCAAAGAAACACGTTGCAATTGTACTAGCTGGGTTTGTCCTAAAACCCACCTGGATGAGGTTCAGTGATTGACATCTAGAATCCGGTGTTTGCTTGCTCTCAAACAGGCATAAATGAGATAGTAGGAGAAAGGGGTGAGTGTCCTCCAATAACTCACACTTTAGCTCCCCCCTTCGCTCCATACTCCATCACACAGTGCCCTATGGCCACCCCTGCCCACCAGAGTATGAAAGGGGGTGGTTAGCCAAAGTTGTGAATGGCCAACCTGAACATGTCGTTGGTGCACACCCATGCATCGTTAATGTTCTTCAGGATGAAACTCTGATGAAAACCCATGATGGGGTCATCATCTGCCTGCAAACAAACAAAAAGAGAAAACCGCAGTGAATACGTTTTAGTTCAGCTTTTAAATAACTGGCTGGGTATTTGAGTTGATGGGAGCCAGAATGATGAGGCAAGTAAGGACAACATAGTTGTATAACTTAACTAGAAAAGCACACGGAGAGCGCAGACCTCCACCAAGCAGCTCGTGTCCCCCCTTATATTGTGATTCACACCAAAACTTTTACTGTTACGTGTCTTTTATTAACTTTTATTTGTGTTTAAACTGGTATGTTCACTGTTCATAATGTTCCTAAAACAAGAAATACACTGACCAGGATTCGAACCCAGGACCTTCTTGCTGTGAGGCGACAGTGCTAACCACTACACTACTGTGCCGCCCATTGGTTATCTTTCAGCATTGAAAATTCCAACGACGCCATTATTTTTGTGTGTTCTGGATCACACTATCTGGAATTTGGCCTGGATCAGGATCAACCTTTGACACCTCATAAAACTCATTGAGATCCTTTTGTGTAATTTTTTACTAAAGACTCTGGCCATTTTTATAGAGTTAAATGCAAAAATTCCAAAATTTGCCCTATCTCACAATGACAAAGACACCTTCAAAAAATTCCTGGATCCAGAAGGCGATCCGGATCACCGCCAAAATGTAATGGGATCCTCCTGGCAGAGGTAACAAATGGTGAAGACAAACACTGACATAATCTACACAGTTCCAAGTTAATGCTATTGCCTGTGATATTAACCATACCAACTCCTTTAACCAAAATGTATATATTAAATAAAGTATTACACAAATGTTAACATCCCAAAGGTTTCTCTTCTGAAGCATTTTTGGTTGTAAGAATCACTCTAAAAACTAACCCATTTACAGGGACTATGAAAAGCTCGTTAGGTTTTTATATGGTAAAATGTCATTATTTAGAATTATTTTCACGAGTCTGCCTGATGTCTTTATATAGCCTGTAGTTTGTTTGGCTTACTTTCAGTATGATAGCAAAGTTCCATTTTCAGCTGGAGAGAGGGAAGAAACTTGTAACATAACCAAATAACTTAACATACTGTGCTTAATTCAGTTAAGTGTAAGTGAGATTCTGTGACGTTTTGGTTTTGGGATGTCTGGCATTCATTTCAGGACGATCACAACCATTTGGAAAACATTCATCTGGAGCTCTCTTTGATAGAATCCTCATGCTGTCTTCTGACAGACATACTGTATTTATTGGGTCTGGGATTTATCACTAACTGAGGATCTTATCCTTGAAACATGAACATAAAATGTATTTGTGGTGTACAGTTCCCTGCTTATGGACCTTATATACTGGCATTTCAAGGCAGGATATTTGCACCCTTTGTGTCTCACCTGCAATGTGTGACATATAGAGATGCCACACACGGGCAGGTTGTGGGTTAATGAGACAAAGTGTTTCCACCCCGGGTCTGTGTGTGTGTATTTGTCAAGCAGGCAAGAACAGCGCCCCGTGTGTGCGTGTCTAAGTGTTGTGCATCTGACACTCTTGCAGTTTGTTTATAAACCATACCTCTTCCACATGTGTAATCACACACTAGGACACCCATGTTGCACTGTTTTGAGCTGCAATGTATTAGCACAAGGATGCAGAGATAGCAAAACTCAGTTGTCATGCAAACGAGGCATCAGTCTGAACCCTGACTCATGGTTTTCAGACATTAAAAATGACAAATGTAAATGGTCTTGTTTTAGGTCATACAGGGGTATCAGTATCAATTTCAATTTTATCATCAGCTAAAATTGCCTTTTTTTTCAAAGGGGTTGTAAAACAGATGACATTGACAAGTGTTAATTCAGGTACTTCTTACTTTTAGCTGTCCCACTACCATACTCAAGATGCAGCAGTCTGGAGTCGGCTGGTGGTCCTGTGCTGTTATACTATGCGCTATTTTTGTGAAGGGGAGACTCTGGTACACAAACACACAGACAGAAGAAAAATACACAGAATAATTATTAGAGGCTTTTCAAGCAATCACAGGAAAAAATAAAAAAGTTAATACCAATAAAAATATTCACCTCATACAGAGCTCATCTATGTCATTCCTCTCATTTATCACAACTAAAATTGATGAATCGTTGCGAATAAATTCATAAAAACAAGCATACTATCCTTATGGGGGAGGGTTCCCAGAATGAAACTGACACAAAGTTGCCTATTTAAATCTACAGCCACACAATTAACTTCAACCTGATGATTCATTACTGCTCTGAAAAATGTAACTCCAAAAGACAAAGAAGGGAGAGATAGAATAACAAAGACAAATAGAGACAAAGAGTAGGAAATATTATTGTTGTTTGTGTCTCCAACACACCTTAAAGGGATATTCCATCGTAAAATTAATTAAGGGTCAAACACACTGCAACACTAAGTTAGACACCCCTCGAGAGATGAATGTTGCTGATTGCTTGCTTCTCTACTTATACCAACTTTAGTAATGGCCACACGATAGCAATATACACTCACCGGCCACTTTATTAGGTACACCATGCTAGTAACGGGTTGGACCCCCTTCTGCCTTCAGAACTGCCTCAATTCTTCGTGGCATAGATTCAACAAGGTGCTGGAAGCATTCCTCAGAGAGCTTGGTCCATATTGACATGATGGCATCACACAGTTGCCGCAGATTTGTCGGCTGCACATCCATGATGCGAATCTCCCGTTCCACCACATCCCAAAGATGCTCTATTGGATTGAGATCTGGTGACTGTGGAGGCCATTTGAGTACAGTGAACTCATTGTCATGTTCAAGAAACCAGTCTGAGATGATTCCAGCTTTATGACATGGCGCATTATCCTGCTGAAAGTAGCCATCAGAAGTTGGGTACATTGTGGTCATAAAGGGATGGACATGGTCAGCAACAATACTCAGGTAGGCTGTGGCGTTGCAACGATGCTCAATTGGTACCAAGGGGCCCAAAGAGTGCCAAGAAAATATTCCCCACACCATGACACCACCACCACCAGCCTGAACCGTTGATTCAAGGCAGGATGGATCCATGCTTTCATGTTGTTGACGCCAAATTCTGACCCTACCATCCGAATGTCGCAGCAGAAATCGAGACTCATCAGACCAGGCAACGTTTTTCCAATCTTCTATTGTCCAATTTCGATGAGCTTGTGCAAATTGTAGCCTCAGTTTCCTGTTCTTAGCTGAAAGGAGTGGCACCCGGCGTGGTCTTCTGCTGCTGTAGCCCATCTACCTCAAAGTTCGACGTACTGTGCGTTCAGAGATGCTCTTCTGCCTACCTTGGTTGTAACGGGTGGTTATTTGAGTCACTGTTGCCTTTCTATCAGCTCTAACCAGTCTGGCCATTCTCCTCTGACCTCTGGCATCAACAAGGCATTTCCTCCCACAGAACTGCCGCTCACTGGATATTTTTTCTTTTTCGGACCATTCTCTGTAAACCCTAGAGATGGTTGTGCGTGAAAATCCCAGTAGATCAGCAGTTTCTGAAATACTCAGACCAGCCCTTCTGGCACCAACAACCATGCCAAGTTCAAAGTCACTCAAATCACCTTTCTTCCCCATACTGATGCTCGGTTTGAACTGCAGGAGATTGTCTTGACCATGTCTACGTGCCTAAATGCACTAAGTTGCCGCCATGTGATTGGCTGATTAGAAATTAAGTGTTAACGAGCAGTTGGACAGGTGTACCTAATAAAGTGGCCGGTGAGTGTACATAGCCATGAACAAACCTCAACCACAAAACCACTCTATAGCCACAAATAATGCTCAGAACAGCACCTAACTTCATCAACAGTACATATAGGGTCCCAGCCATAATACTAGCCATCAAACATCTTTTTAGCTTTGCCTGATTTCTTTAGCGAAGAGACTAAACACAACTCACCAACTCTCCTCCTGCAGCCACTTGTTTGTACGGACACCTCGGGCCAGTCCATTACGGACAACTGCGAGGGGACACAGCTCAAGGAAGAACATTAATAATTATTTCTTCATGGAAATGCAATCATACTGAGACGCTAAGGCAGAAGAACTACCGCGTCTGCAGTGCAAAATGATTAATATGGTGATTCTTACTTTAAGTAAATGATAAAGAAATGATCATAAATGTTCTTCCTTGAGCTTAGTAACCCTGCAGCAGTCCATAATGGACTGGCCTGAGGTCTCTCTACAAACTAGTGGCTGCTGTAAGAGAGTAGGTGAGTTGTGTTTAGTCTCTTTGCTAAAGAAATCAGGCGAAGCTAAAAAGATGTTTGATGGCTAGAACTATGGCTGAGACCTTATATGTACTGTTGATGGAGTCAGGTGCTGTTCTGAGCATTATTTGTGGCTACAGAGTGGCTTTTTGGTTGAGGTTTGTTTATGGTTCCTCAGACTGCTGTGTATTGCTATCGTGTGGTCGTTACTAAAGTTGGTATAACTAGAGAAGCAAGCAGTCAGCAACATTCATCTCTCGAGGTAGTGTCTAACTTGGTGTTGCAGTGTGTTTGACCCTAAATTAATGTTATGCCAGAATATCCCTTTAACTGTTGATCTAGGAACACATTTGGAGAAATTGGATCACTTCACTGCTGCATGCATTCAAAAATTTTACATTGACCCGGTTAAAAGTGCAGATTAATAAATTGCCTTATTGCTTACATAATCAGAGTTCTCAGAAAAACCTTGCTTCTGCGGTGCAACCTGCTGACCGAAAATGCAACTGGATCGCATACTTGAGCAGTCACTGACTTGACTGTTATGCGTTACCTTACTACACAGCAACAGGTAAACAGACAGACTCACAGTGAGTTTTTCAACAATAGCTCTTTTTCCCTGGAACTGCTGTCCTTCCCACGTAAGGCATGATGCATCAATCTGTTGATGATGGTAGAACAAAGAAAGAGGATAAAATGTAGAGGATGCAGCTTAAGAGAAAGAAATACAGTTGTATCATATCACTCAGTTCAGAGTAGCTTTGCCCACCTGCTGCACCGTTTGTCTGAAATTGATAATTGTTTGTTGTTTATTTAAAGGGTTAAGGCCGCTGACTATTTGGGTCAGAGGATAACATTAAAATTTTTTCTCATTTTCCGATTGAGACAGGTTAGGTTTTCACATGGGTAAACAGACTTTGTCTGACAGGTACCAGTAATTTTGTCAAGTAAGGCTGCCAATTTACTGGAAAAGCAGTTTTTTTAATAACACTCACATATATGGATCCAAGTTGTGATCTGTCATTGTCAAACATATGATAGTAGTGCGACACAAAGCTGGATCCTATATGTTCCCACAGAGGCTGGTCCACCATCCTGGCTCACCCTGCAATGCACAAAAGAGAGATGGCGACAAAGAAAAGAAGCAGGTCAGAAATACTACAGAAGAGGATTAGGGCCACTGTTTATTTGTCTAAGAAAAAAGGTCAAAATTCAGAGATTAAAGTCAGAATTTTGAGATAAAAGTCAGAATTCTGAGAAAACAAGTCAGACTTCTAATTCTCAAGTCAGAATTTTGAGAAAAAGTCAGAATTTTGAGATGAGTTCTATCTGTTTTGCAAATGAATGACTGACAAACTAGCTAAAGTGGAACATGACACCAATCTCACGTGACAATTCCCTTTCAAATCATCAACTTCAGATGCATAAAAGGCTAAACAGTCAACGACAAAAGTTACTAGTGAGTCGACCACTCCGATGTTGCGAAACAGGTATGACATGGACTCTCCATTTTGGATGCAGTGAATGGCTAAAGAGAATCATGCTTGTGCCCACAGTTTTTATCTTGGGAGAAAAAAGTCAGAATTCTGAGATTAAAAACAGAATTCTGACTTTTTTCTCAGAATTCTGAGTCTAACATCAGGATAATTTCACAATCATGAGCAGCTTAATAAATCAATCGTTATTCATATAACGCCAATTCAAAAAAAAAAAAGTCATCTAAAGACACTTAACAAAAAGAGCCAGTCTAGACCATAACCTTCATGATATTAAAAAGACCAGGCATAAAGGTAGTACATGGTTAAGCTCAGACACACACCTGTCCCATTTGAAAGCTCACACAGAATTAAAATGCTACATGTAATGACCTAAAATCAATACAAACAACAATTTTCCCAGTTTTGTTAATTTGACTGGTTTACGAGAACAGCATCTCTGATTGTTTTCTGGCCGGGGTCTTTGTTAACATGTCCAGTGTCTTCACATACACACAACATACTTTTCTTCATCATTTACAGAAAATGGCAACTTCAGAAAAAAAAAGAGAGAGAAAAAATGGTGGGCTCATCACCCATCATTCCATGAGGGTCATACAGACACACAGACAGCAAGGTTTCCTCCAGACAAATGCGGTGCAGCGCGTGACATGTTGGTGGATATATGGAAGCGCACCCAAACTGTTGCACTCCGGCCACACTAACTTGATGTTGATTACCTCTGCCAAGGAGGTTATGTTTTCGGAAGTGTTGGTTGGTTTGTTTGTCTGTGAACAAGTTTACGAAGAAAGTAACAGACGGATTGACCTGAAATTTTCACCAGAGGTGCGTCTCAGCCCCAGGAGGATCCCATTACATTTTGGTGGTGATCCGGATTGCCTTCTGGATCCAGGAATTTTTGGAAGGATTCTATATCATTGTGAGATAGGGCAAATTTTGGAATTTTTGCATTTAACTCTATAAAAATGGCCAGAGTCTTTAGTAAAAAATTACACAAAAGGATCTAAATGAGTTTTATGAGGTGTCAAAGGTTGATCCTGATCCAGACAAAATTCCAGATACTGTGATCCAGAACACACAAAAATAAGGGTGTTGTTGGAATTTTCAATGCTGAAAGATAACCAATGGGCGGCACAGTGGTGTAGATGGTGGTTAGCACTGTCGCCTCACAGCAAGAAGGTCCTAGGTTCGAATCCCGGTCAGGGCATTTCTTGTTTTAGGAACATTATAAACAGTGAACATACCAGTTTAAACACAAATAAACATTAATAAAAGACACATAACAGTAAAATTTTTGGTGTGAATCACAATATAAGGGGGGACATGAGCTGCTTGGTGGAGGTCTGCGCTCTCCGAGTGCTTTTCTATACTTTTTTCTTCCTCATACAGTTTCTGTTATTGTACCACTGGTTTTGTCTCTGACGGTACTTTTTCTTCTTCAAGACATGAAGCCAATTGAAAGCTATTTCAACCATTTGGTTGTTTGTTAACAAGGCAACAGTCTGTAGCAGTCTGAAGTTGTAAATAAAGGCCATGTGTGGAAAAAAAAAAAACTTCTCTCTGGTCAGTATAATGATAATGTGCTGTCTACCTTATGTTTTCTGTTTGTTTTGCATCTTTAAAAGTGCACAATAAAATGTTACACTGAATTTAAAACAGCACATTTTAATTTCTGCTAGGCCTGGGCGATTTGGCAAAAAAAAAAAAAAAGATCACGATTTATTTTGTCATATGGTCTGATCTCGATTAATATCACGATTTTTTTTCGTGCCAGTTTTAAAGTATCTGTACTAACAACTGAAAAAAAAACTAGAGATTAGTTCAACATTTTATTAACATACAAAGTAAATAACAAAGCAAATTGAATAAGATACAATTAGAAATAGTGATCCAATTCATGAATGAATGCGGACTGCGCTACGAGAAATTCCCGGAAGAAATGACAATACGGGGGGTGGGCGGGAGATAGGCCTACGTCTGAAATAGGGGAGAGTCCCGGGAAAAACGGGAGTGTTGGCAGGTATGGATATGACCGATCGCTGTTTTGGTCCGTGGCTGCACCGCTAGTTGTGGCTAAACTGCTAATGCTACTCGTACCGTCAGCAGTGACAGGCTGTGCAGACTCCGCTCACATTTTCAGGCTTCCCGCATAATCACTCGGGGAGAACAGATTTGTTATGTTGCCGGTTTATCGGCTTAATTGCTCGACGTCACTTTGGAGAGACGTTGAATAACTCCTCAACTATAACACCTTCTGAGGAGGACTCAAAGTCACAGCTGACATCTGTTTTGCGGCCCTAAGCTCCGCGTTTAGCTCCATGTTCGGTCATTCTGTTTACTTCTCCTGTTTACTTCTCCGGTAACTTACAGAAGTGAGCAGGAAAAGCCCGACTCTGATTGGCTGTTGTGACGCACGTTTCTGCCATGTTTGATCGAGTAAATATGCTCACAGCTGATCACCGTGATCGAACTGAAATTAATCGCGATCATCGATCACGATCATATAATCGCCCAGTCCTAATTTCTGCATTTATTACTTATTTATCAGTAATACAGTGAAAATGAGAGGAAATGTGAATTATCTGCCTTGTAAGTCAAGTTACAGTGTACACCCCTAAACTTTCTGCTTGTGCTCCTAAAATGTTTAGTTAGGGGTTACTGTACTCTTAGCAAAACAAGTTAGTCTGGAGCCCTGTATGTGCAATAAATAACGCATAGTTCATAAACCTTAGTTTGACTAGATTATTTTGAATGCACTTATCAAACACCACGGCGCCACCCTGCACCGCCCAGCCCACCACCACAAGTAAATTCTCAACCTACGGGAAACAATGTAATGACCACATAACCACATAAACCTGTTTGTTTACCCCTTTGACCAGATATTAAAATGCAAACTGCAGCCTCTTGGTCGTGTGTGTGTGTGTGTGTGTGTGTGCAATTCAGGTTGTTCCAGTAACGCCAGAGGCACGACTTGTAAACACTAAACAGGAACTCCACATACACACTGTGTTGTTTCACCAACTCTGACCTGACACACCCCCACCGTCTTCCTTCTTTTCTGTCTGTTACTACCCCTAAGAGAGAATCAGAGGTGAAAGGAAATGACTGCGCTACACCACTGCACTTCCAACATCACGCTTTGACAGTGTGTCCTCCAAGCTCCTCTAGTTGTGAGATGTTAAGTCTAACAATACCGTTTTGAAAGGTGCTGACACATGTCATTAGTGAACCAAGGCATGTCCAGAAGTGATCTGACGGGTGGAGCTGTGGGACTGACTGAGGTGACTCATCTTCATAACTCAAACTTGTATTTCACTATCTGAAAAAATATCAAAGATCCCTCATGTTTGTGCAGTCCACTCCAGACCAGATTTTTATGTTGATTCCTTCCTGAACCGGGAAGTTTTTCAGAAAGCTGCTCTGTATGGGATTTGCAGGGGACAACCCCTCACACCCAGGTCACAAACTGTTTGAACCCCTCACCTCAGGTAGTTGTTTAAGATCACAGTACACCAAAACCAACTGACTCAAAGAATGTTTTTTTCTCCTGGGCTGTTTCTCTGATGAAATCCTAACGTTCACAGAGTGACAGAACAACCACTGTGACTGTAAATGACTGTTTATCTAACCTTTAAACTACGATCATCTATAACAACTCCTCCACATATTCTAACTACAGACATCATCCACTCATCTGACATGTACCTCTGCACACCATTATCGAATATTTTAATGTCAATTCTGTATTTAACACTAATGTATATCTACCTCATGTACATAATCCACCTGTTATACAACATACGTAAAAAATCGTTCTACCACTCAACCTTCCTCTGCACTCCTCACTTTTGTACTACTACCTTAAACACTCTTGTACATAAAAGTTAAATGTCCAAGCTAGAACATATTTTTGTCATTTTTGTAATATTTCATCATGTCAAATGTTTTTGCATAGAACACAAAGTCTACCAGAGTCAATTTCCTTGTATGTGTAAGTGTGGCCAAAAAAGCTGATTCTGATGTGTGGGCTCCTGCAGGGTTCTTGACTGGATTAGCAGAGTGAAGAAATAACAGCCAGACAAATACGTAACAAACGCAATGATGACACTTAAGATACATTTGAGAATGGGACATAAGGGGCGCTATCTGTTCTGTATACAATCACTTCCTAAGTGTGACTTTATTACCTCCGCCAAGGAGGTTATGTTTTCGGTAGCGTTGGTTTGTTTGTTTGTGAGTTTGTTTGTCTGTTAGCAACTTAACGGAGAAAGCCCCAGGAGGATCCCGTTAAATTTTGGTGGTGATCCGGACAAAATTCTGGATACTGTGATCCAGAACACACAAAAATAAGGGTGTCGTTGGAATTTTCAATGCTGAAAGATAACCAATGGGCGGCACAGTGGTGTAGATGGGCGGCACAGTGGTGTAGTGGTTAGCACTGTTGCCTCACAACCAGAAGGTCCTGGGTTTGAATCCGGGTCAGGGCATTTCTTGTTTTAGGAACATTATGAACAGTGAACATACCAGTTTAAACACAAATAAAAGTTAATAAAAGACACATAACAGTAAAAGTTTTGGTGTGAATCACAATATAAGGGGGGACATGAGCTGCTTGGCGGAGGTCTGCGCTCCCCGAGTGCTTTTCTAGTTTACAATACTTCAACAATTCCTATTACATTATTTATATAGGGTGCTTTTTTTTTTAAAGAGGACTTAAACCGATTGTAACAAGTTTGTTATAAAATACATAAGCTATATAAAATACATATTATAAAATAGATTTCAATGAAGTCTGATGTGTCTGTTATGATCTATCAAAGCAAACTTGAACATCAGGAAACAGACTTTCACATGAAGACTTGATGGATAGTGGTGGAGCACTAGCGTTTTCTATATGGAAAGATGTCCTTTTTATTTTTGATTTGACGATGAACTGAATTGTTCTGATTAAAGGTCATTCCAAGTGCAAGCAGGCATACAACCATCCGTTGCCATGGGAGCATTACTGACTCTGCAATTAGAGGAACTATTTCCAAGCTGTATAGAGAATAGATTTTTAACTTTAAAATATCAATTTAATATTTAGTGCCATCTTAGTCATAACCTTAGCTGATAGTTGGGAAATAAGCAGGATGATGTATAGGAAGCAGGTGATTACACAAATCAGATACGACCCCTCCAACTTGTCACTAAGGTCTTCCTCCTCCTGTTTAGATTCTGATGATGTGTATTGATGCGTTTTCCCCAGGAGGTCTGGTTTGGTTCAGTGGAGTATGGTACAGTTTGGTACTATAAACTCTGATCTTGCTTGCGTCTCTCCACACCTCCTAGCATCATGCAGGAGTTGTGTTGGCTGCTTTAATGCCTCATGCATGTTTAGATCTATTGGTTCGGACTGCCTATGTGAGCAGTGCATCTCACACATTTTTTCTGTGAGCCACACAGATCTCAGCCTCAAGTACAGAGGTACGTGATGAACTGAAAACTGTATTTGCTGTGTTAATTGCAAGCATGAAAAACACGCCACTAAAACACTACACTACACTACCACTAAAACATCTGTAGCCTCTAGCATTGCTTCTCCTGCCAACAGATCATACCTTGGGTGGGAATAGTCACTCAGTTAACCAGGAAAATAACAGTAGATGTCTGTCAGATTACCATCAGGAAGACAGAGCAACCAATTTTTGGGACATGGGTTAATTTGTTGCCATTTCTGATACATTTCAAAAATACATGTTAAATAATAATTTTAAAATCAAATAAAAAACAAATAGTGAAAACAAAGGGGCCCTATAAACTGGTTATACAACATGTAATTTTTATCTTTGAGCCCAAATTGACCAAATCTAGACACCTTTTGTTCTGTGTAAAGGCTTGTATGCAATGTAATGCAATATGAAAAGCAGCAGAAGGAGTGAAGCAGTATACTGCAACATATACAAAAAAAGTCACAACTAACTTTGTCAATAGATAAACAATATCTGGAACTACAAGTTCTGTTTTTCATGGTTTCTTTTAAAGGTAGAATTAAAACTCTTGTATTAGATCAATTCTCTTTCCATGTTATGTCACCATGTTTTGAAAACGCAACAGAAGAAGTAACACATGTATAAATGAACCCAAAATTTTCATAAATTATTACAATAAAAAGCCCCAAACTGCCTATTCATTATCATCACTACCATTCCTTTTTGTTTCCTAAGAAGTGTCCTTTCAGTGTTGTTCTTAAGCAATGTCTAATGCAGTCCAACAATTGTGGACATCTGTGAACAGTGTTATGACTGTTAAACTAAAAGATCTGAATAATTCTTTCATGACACTGACTTGTAATTACCAAAAAAATATCTCTTTTTCTCATAGTCTGATCTCAAAATGCTCCAAAAACTATAATTTGCACACCACAACAAAGAATATTTCGTCGAAGTATTCCCCCAGAGCCCAACATTTCTTTTCTTCATATTTCAAGATACTCTAGCTGTTGCCGTTCTCAGAATTATTTCTATTATGTAATAGCTAGCTAATATGTGAAGATTATCATCATTATTAATTGTATGTCACCTGCTCAGTCCCCCATATGATAAAGAAGCCCCAAGTGAGGCCATGTCGGTTGCCTTGTCTTTGTACTATAAAGTTTTCCTGTATTTTCTAAGAAAGAACTACATTTTGAACTAGAAAAGCACTCGGAGAGCGCAGACCTCCGCCAAGCAGCTCATGTCCCCCCTTATATTGTGATTCGCACCAAAACTTTTACTGTTACGTGTCTTTTATTAACATTTATTTGTGTTTACACTGGTATGTTCATTGTTCCTAAAACAAGAAATGCCCTGACCTGAATTTGAACCCAGGACCTTCTGGCTGTGAGGCGACAGTGCTAACCACTACACCACTGTGCCGCCTATTGGTTATCTTTCAGCATTGAAAATTCCAACAATACCCTTATTTTTGTGTGTTCTGGATCACAGTATCCGCAATTTTGTCTGGATCAGGATCAACCTTTGACACCTCATAAAACTCACTGAGATCCTTTTGTGTAATTTTTTACTAAAGACTCTGGCCATTTTTATAGAGTTAAATGCAAAAATTCCAAAATTTGCCCTATCTCACAATGATAAAGAATCCTTCAAAAAATTCCTGGATCCAGAAGGCGATCCAGATCACCACCAAAATGTAATGGGATCCTCCTGGGGCTGAGACGCACCTCTGGTGAACATTTCAGGTCAATCCGTCTGTAACTTTCTCTGTAAAGTTGCTAACAGACAAACAACCAAACAAACCAACGCTACACAACATAAAAACCAAGGACCTTTATTCGTCTGTAAGTACATTGACGAATTTTTGTATATACAATCACTGGCACAGGTGTTTTTATTGATAAGTATGTATAATGAGATATATATATATCCAGATGGACAATCCACTCAAAGGACCAGTGTTTGGTCCTGGTGACGCAACACACTAAAAGGCTATCAACAGTAATGTTCGTCCTGAATGACGACAGAAATTTTAACTTATCATAAAAAAAAACATAAAAGGAAAAAATATATAATAAACAAAATTAGAATCACAAGTCTGCAAATGCCACCACAGTTGAGAAAAGCACAGTAAGGTGATACATTTGCAAGGGTCAGCCGTGTTGTGTTCAACACGCCGTTTCACGTACTTGAATGACACTGACAGCACAAGTCATGTGCTTCCACCCAGCGATACACTGTTGTTACTGGAACAATCTGTAGGCTCCAAAAATGTGTGAGCTTCGACGGCTTTAACACGTCACATAACGTTACCATGAATTCCATGGTTACATAAATAGCATTGGTTCAGCCCGCGTAAATGTTATCGGGGAGGGGAAAGAGTAAATAGGCTTAGTTGCTAACGGTTAGGATGATAAATGGAAAGCTCATGTGTGGCTAGTTACCATAAGCTAACTAGCTGCTACTAGCTTATAAGCTGTCTTGTTTGCTCATGTTGATAGCCTGTATTGGTAAAGACTCTGTGTATATCCTAAAACATGCTTCTCCTCCAGCAAACGCTCGACGTCAGATAAATGATATTTTTGTGCGTTAGCCAACTGACTGACCGACACTCGCCCCTTCACTGGTGGCTAAAAATACCCTGTCTCCTGAAAGTGTTGATGCCTCCTCTGGGCCCGCGCATACAGCTTTCGGACCCAGGAGCAGCTACCCTACATAGGCGTGCCCAACGTTAGCCCTCAGCCGAAGAAGGGTAGCCAATTTAACAACTTCCCCAACCATATGCTTGTTGAAATGTCAGGTAAGTTTAGCGCGTTTGTATTGGGTTATGTTCTCATTGACTAATCTTTCAGAAGACTGTCTAAATAGTAGTATGGAAAACTTACCTCTCACCAAAGCCGAGGCCGGCTGTACTATCTCACAGTGTCTACTGCTGCCTGCTACCCTTCGAGGGCACGCACTCAAAGCATTGACCGGCCCGATGGATTGTGGGGATTGTAGTCCGTCTGCGCTGACAATTCTTATTCATTTTTTCTTTTTTGCGGTGTTAGTCTCCTGGCTTTCAAGTGCAATACCGCTACCTAATGTGTTTAAATTATGGGTATTTTATGCAAAATGTTTTAGGCCCCAAATAATTCTCGTGATAAACGATAAGGCTGTGCCAATTCATCAATGTGTGCATTTCTGGCGTCCACATGAATGTCTTCTGCCAATATATACTTTATTATTTTTAGTCTGTTTTCTCATCAAACAATGTTTGCTTGGACAGTACCTAATCACAACAAATGTTACCTCCTGACACTTTATAGAAAGGGTAGATCTAGTTTCGGATTATTTACAAAGACTTAAGGGCAAAATAGGATATAATTCAGTCGTATCTGATCTGGAAAGTGTAATATATTGCATAAAAAATGTGTCTGCTACCAAAGGCATGTAACTGTAATGATATTACAGCTGAGCTTGTATCTAAAATGAAAAACATTTCAACTGTGTCAACTGACAGTCTGATGTTTGTCTTTTTACAGAAACAAATGGATTTGGTATGCTGAATCTGACACCTGTGCTTCTTGTATTAGAATCCTTGGGTTTATAGGTCAAATTTTTGTACGTGTTTGTACAAGTGCTTGCAACCGATCTGCAAGCTGCTATATATATTTGCATTTTGTCATTTTGTTACTGCTTATCCCTTTCACTCTCCTAACAGTGATAATGCACTTACTTATCTTGTCTATCCAATATTTCCTAGATATTTTCATGTATTTGCCCAGGACTGCATACTTAGTTATTTTTGTTTCACATCAGACAGGTGCGATATGTCAGTTCTCTTGTTCCTGTTGGAAGGGATAAACTGTAAATGGGAATTTCACCTTGTGGGACTAATAAAAGAGTATCTTATCTTAACAGCATCCTCCCATCTTCTCTTAATGAACAGATACTGGACTTATTCTGAAAGCACCATAACACAACCTTAAAACTAGAGCCTGTACTACTCCCAACTTTTTCAGCAAGCAACCACAGTCAGTCAATAATAAACAAAATTAAATGGTTTTTCATTGCACAGCTGCTTGCTTCCCTTTCTTTACCATAAAAATTACTACTCAATCAGGGCTGGGTCACAGTTCAGATCTCAACCACTGTCAGTATAAATGTGTGACTAAACTGATAAATAGTCACAGAACTGGATGGAAATCACTGCAAGAACTAAAATCTTACACCTGTTTGCTCATTTTCCATTGTTCAAATTTACATTAACATGAACTATTTATCCTTAAACTTTGATTTGAAGATTGCCTTTTTAAACCCCTAAGTCACAGATAAGGACTCGGTAATATTGATCGCAAAATTGTTCGAACAGTTTTTAGGATTTTAAATTATTTATGAAGATACTAGTCCTCATGCATCTTTTTTTAACATCATGTTTTATTATGTGAGCAAGTTAGTTGTCCTTCCCAAACATAAACAGAATAATGAATAATTCAGCATTTCCATGAATAGAATGTGATTTGATGCATGATTTCAATTTTCTTCTAGAAAAGGAGCTAAGGCAACCACATATTATTCTGTGAAAGCATCAAAGTCGAGAGAGAGAACGAAATTGCAACTTGGTGTCATTGATGCTGTCTGGTCTGTTCTGAGTGGAGGCCATCCCTGTTTCCTTGACTGCCCTTCATAGAACTAACCTCCCCAAGAGGCTCCTACACATACATGCACAAAAAAGTACACAATCAGAGAGTGAGCAAAACAGAGAAACCTGAAGACCTCATATTTGCATGATATTGTGAGAAATACTGATCCCATGAGTTCTGTTAAGTAGCTACCTGCACACCGATAGAGTCTTGTCCCTCATTCTGCATACTGCTTCTTGTGTGGAGCTCCAGTAGGGTGTCATATTCTTTCTTTAACTGATCAAAGTCTCCCTGCAGCGTCTTCAGCTGGATATCCAGGGGAAAAAAAGCAAAATACAAAGGCTGTTACAATTTGAAAACAAGAGTTTAGAGCATACATGCTAGCTGGCTCTGTACAATACTTGTGTCTCAATAAGCCACCTGAAGGAGGGTCTGTGTGTGTGTTTCAGTCAGCGTGTCCCAGTTGCGCCGTGGCACAACATCCCAGTGTTCTGCCTTGAACTTGACCAGCTCCTCCTGGGCTTTAGTAAGGTCTCCTCGACACACCTTTAGAGCAATCTGCAGCCCCACGAGGTCTTCACTAACTTTTGATCAAAGAGGAAACACATTTCAAACGAAAGCATGCAGAGTTTAGAACTTGTATGTTTGTATATGTGTTTGTGTATTGAAAGGACTTTGGTTAGACTGATTTCAAACTGAAATTAGGTCCAATGGCTTATACACAGTGTAGCAAACAGCTTTACTAATGGCACACTTCATGTTTTGCAACTTGCGGTGTTATGTTGCACTAAATCGACAAAGTCTGTGAACTTTTTAGATATCTTGCCGTTATCCTCTATTACCAGTAACCATGCTAAGCTAAATCAAGTAGCTGTAACTTCATATATAATGGTGGAAACCCTGTATCAAAATGTTCATTAATATTCCTCAATTTTTTTATTGGTCAGTTCCTCATAGGGTCTCCTCACAAAGCCAATCATGACATCCCTAAACCCAAGATGATGTCTTTATGTGTCTTCAATTATACTTGTATTTTTATCTGCAGGATCCTCCTCCTTTACAGAGTCTCTTGTTAGATCATTGAGCTGCCATATTAACAACTTGCGAGCATCCCGCTCCTCACGGTATAGCAGATATTGGTCAGAGACTTCAGCCTGCAGACGGTCCAGCTGAAGGGGAATAGAAGGGTTTGGTGAGAAATTATAGTTAAAATCTAAGAGTGTAACTGATGCCGAACAAAATTATACACATACAAATGAAGCATTCAATTGGTTGCAGATTGCAACTGGCTGTATTCCTTTAAAAGTAACAGGTATGAATAAATAGACAGATGTTGAACACCACTTTGCAGACATATACCACATTTTGCATGGCCTTTTCTCTCTTCCTCATGGCCTCAAGGTCCTTCTGTAGCTGCTGCTTCTCGTTTTTCAAAGCTCCTATCTCTGCCTGCTTCTCTTCACAGCAAGCTTGAATCTTTCGGTCACATTCCTCTGTTACCGTCCTTAAACGGGATCGCAGTGGTTCCAGTTCTTGGATTTGATCCTGATGATATGCTAAAAAGATGCAAAACCCATTCAAATACCATGAGCAGACACCTAAACCCTTACATTTAGCTCTTTTTTCTGTAATCTGATTTATTTACATCATCAAAGGTTGAGGTCTTGCCTAAAAATTATTTTCAGAAAAAAATGAACTCTTTTTTAAAATTTTTTATCTTGAGCATTATATTCTTATTCTCCACAAATACATTTCTTATGTTGTTTGTTGTTTTTAGGCAATGTCTAAAAAAAAAAAAAAAAAAGGAACTATGTTCAAACAAATTAAAAGTTAAGACATCAAGAAACATTGACTTATAGGATTTAAAATTCTAAATATTTGCCATTTTCTCATTGAGCAGTACACAGGAAATGGAAGATGTGGCTCATGCTGCAGATCAAGACTTTATGAATAACTCTGTCATAAGCATAACAAATAAGACCATTTTTTATGGTTCAATGTATTAAAAGAAGCTAGAAATGTATAATTAAATGGGCTTCACTTCAGTCTCTTTTTGCCGCAGCTCTCTGTATTGACTGTGTTAAGATTAAATTAAACACATTGTTTCTTGGAGGGACTAAACAAGTTCTTATATGACAGAAATAATAGCTTGAATGGACACAGGTATAAACCAAACAAAATTTGTGCTGAATCTTAAGAGGACTGTGCCATTATAAATCTTGAAACGACAAACGTTTTGTTACTCCATCTTTTCCACTGTAGGACACCATTTAGATTCAATGTTATGCTGTTGTAAATGTTCACAAGTAATAAAAATAATCTAGCAGGTACTGTATATAAAGGGATTTCTCCAACCTAATGTGCTTTCATATTCTTTTTTGATAGCAGACAGAAGGGGTTGGTAGGCTCTGAACTCTTGAATAAAACATCCAAAGACGTTACGATAGATCTGTGGGAGAGAAAGTGTGGATATGTGAGAACAATTTCCAACCAAGTACATGTGTGTGTGTGTGTGGGGGGGTACCTGTAGTTTTAGTTCCTGAAATTTTATGTCACCAGGGCTGAGAGTTTGCAACTCTCTGTTAACATAGCTCTCCAAGTGCCTCAAGAGCTGAGGCTTCCTCCCTGGGGTTGCATAAATATAACAAGTGTCCATCCAGCACAACTAAAGTGAAGACAAACACAGACAGACATAAGATGCTTGGAAACTAAATTGCAGAGACAATGAAAAATGGGGAAAGGGTTGCTCTTTGGATAAACTTCCTTTAGAGCAGTAAAACATTTCCGTTGTTCAATTTCTCTCATTAAAATAATAATTCGTGAGTGATATTGTGGCAGGTGTCGTTTGAAGTATTTACTTCAATTACCTTTCTGGCTACATGTTGTACAGAGACAGTTCCAGGACTTTCCTCACCCTGATCTTCCTTTGATGGTTGATCATGGCAATCCTGAGGACAACTGGTAAGACAAAAAGAGCAGTAAAAGTCAACTCAGTCTACACAGACAGTGTCCTTGGTGAACTGTAAAGCTGTTTTTGTAATAAATGTGTTGATCACTTACCCTCTTTTATATGACGCTGTTATAGGCGGAAATTTAGTACTGTTGCGTAATGACATCTCTGACTATTGTACAGAAGCTAAATTATGATATGCCACCCTAAAATGCATGAAACTTCTAGTTTAAGATTAGCTTGAGAAAGAAACAACACACAGCTTCAGCATTGCAGAGAGGTTACCGTGGTAACGAGGGCGGAGCACTTAGAAAGACCAACACAGTTGACCGCGTCGCGCCTCTCTAAATATCAAATTGTTTTAAATTAAAACTTTTGAAAATGACAACGCGGAGATAGTTAACATACTAAAATGTAAAAGCCTTACACTCGTATCAATATTTTTCTCTTACATACCAGATACATCAAACATAAATAACCTTCACTGGACACCGAACTGAAGCGTCTAATATTAACACTGAATAATGTGATGTTTAATATAAGGCGAAGTTAGGCCTACAAAAAACACTGTTATGAATTGACAATGAGGACATACAAATGGAAGTGCGTTGTAACATTTAACACCTTGCTCTTGTTGTGGAAACAGTGGTGCGATTTATTCTTGCAATAAATGCAATATGCTATACAGTTATGTACAGCTTCCTCTGGTGCACATACGCTCTGTTAAAATACTCAAATTAATGTTTAATACACTGTTAACAACACTGCTTGATAGTTCAAAACGTGTATTTGCCAGCTCTCACTCACCCACTTACCCGGTCAGCGAGAAAAGGGCTGTGTAGTTATTTCTAAATACAGAAGCTACCAGGCAGGTGAACTACAGTACCCAAAAGGCTCTGCTTTAGCCTACAGTGCATTCTGCTGCTTATCCGGGGATGTCACACCACTGCTATTTTCTCCCCTCAGTCCCTCTCACTCTCAGCCTACAACTCCAGCGGACTGACACAGGGCTCTGGACAGAAAGAAACAATAAGATACATAGCTAAAGCCAAAAATGGCAGAGCTCGGAGCGGGAAGCCTGCCATTGGGAGATCCTGCTTTTAATTACCAGGAGCACGAGCTAAACGAGCGACTGAAACGGCTCTACCCGGCTGTGAACGAGGAAGAGACCCCCTTACCCCGATCCTGGAGCCCCAAGGATAAATACAGCTACATTGGGCTGTCACAGAACAACCTGCGGGTCCATTACAAAGGTTAGAGAACTGTCTTAGCCCTAACAGTCTGAACAACGTCAGTCGCAGCGGCAGCAGAGGGTCTCAGCTCGTATCTGTCACTATGCTGTTGCGGGGGTTCTGTCTCTCACTCGCGCGCACACAGTCACATACACACAGTATGCGATTATGTTGATTGTCTATGTGCGTGAGTGTGCACTCCTGGTAAATCTAGTCTGAGCTGCCTCTCATGTCCTGTAACCTTGCTTTGTTTCACAGATGAGGAGCGGTATTCTCTATATGGGTGACAGTAAACTCGTTGACCCTGACTATAGGTCTTTTTCTTTCTTTCTTTTTTATTTTTTTATTTTTTACCAACACTCTTAAATTCACCCTCAACAACACGACTCACCCCTTTGTTTATTTAGCATTTATAGTGGTATTCGTTTGCATCTAGCTAAATTGCCTTCCTTGTGAGTTTATTCTAAATACTGACAATGAAAAGAACAACGGCGCATCGAAAAGACAAGCTTGCGGAATGTATAATCAAACAAGAGCTAGCTACAAGTAACGTATCTCTTAGGCTTAGGTACTGTTTAGCCCTTTGGCTAACAAGCTAACATTAGCTAACCTAGCCGTTCCTTGTGACTAACGTTTGAAAACAATAGGATAAAGTAGCTACAAGATGGACTCTGGCCAAATTTGTTACTAACGGTTTATAATGTAGCACTGAGCCCAATGCACATGTCGTATCATTTTTGGCAACAGTAAGCCAAAAATGGAATAAAAGCGACAATGCTGTGTTATCTCGCGATTTTTCAGGCAGTGTTCTATGAGTCTTTTCCAGACTATGAAAATCATTTTCCAGTCTGGGGACAACCGGTCCAGCTCCGCTTAGATTTGTCTTGTCCCCCGAGCACAACGGCCCAACAACCATCTCGTTTTCAACAGCTGTTGTGAGGGGAAAGGCTTCTGCACTGTACATTAGGCCAAATTACCGATCATAAAATAAATCAATTTTGTCCGCAGACAGGCATTTTCCCAATAACAGTAACTTCTTTTGTGCAATGAACTTCAGACTTGAAACCAAAATCGACACTGTCAGCCTGCCCTCAGTATACATTTAGCTCCTTGGATCAAAACGGAACGAATGCTATGGAAAGTTCTCTTATCATTTTTTTTTTCTGCTTATTTTTCGTCAGGCAACACATAAGGGCAGCCTGCATCTCTCTACACAGTGGCATTGCAAGGCCACATGGGGTCCTGTTGGCTGTTTACATCAGTTATGCATGCAGAGTATGAGAGGATGCAGACAGGCTGTTAAGCCCATTTTGATTTTAAGATTTTCTTTAATTTGCCTCTTTGGGACCTACCCTGTATTAGTGTGGCTGCTTGTGATTATCAAGAAAGCACCATTGAGCATTTAAATCAGGTCAGCAAGGCAGGTAGCTTAGTATATCCCTCAGCACTTTTCTGATGCACAATTAATCAGTCAGCCATTATAGATAAGAATGCAGTTCATGTCGTATTTTGTTTGTTTGTGTTGTGGATGCACATAAAACATTGAGTAGTGATTTTTTTCTAATGCTTTGCTTTTAATCAAGAGTTACACACAACACTACAATACTACTACAAAGGAATAATGGCCCTTATAGGTTTGAAGATATTGTGTATTTTCTGTTTGGATGATGTAGGACATTGAGTCTCTCTGTCTATGGAAGGTGCAGAGATATAGTGACACAGCACAATTGTTCAGGGATATATAAATAGCTCTTTTCTGGAGTGTGCAAGATAATTTTCTCCCTGAACATTCTAGCAACTGCTTGGTTCCCTTACCCTTGTGGTTTGAATGCTATTTTGACCAGTGTGCCAATTCTGTCTGTTCAGGCTGCAGTGTCTGACTGATCCTTTTCAACAAAGACATAATAACCCTATCTTTCAAAAATACACACAGGCACACAAAACAATCTCTATCAAAGAATTTGTCAGTGACTTTTTTCTTCTTATTGATGAACTTTATTCATTTATTCTGTATATTAAATCAATATTCTGATTCTGATTTGTTTATTCATACACTCTAACTTAAGTAAGAATAAGAAGAACTGTATTGATCCCCGAAGGGAAATTCAATTGTCTGTTGTCTCACGTAATATGTCTATAAAAGTTATGTATTATTTACATAAGAGTTATAAAGTCTGATGGCTGTTGGTACAAAGGATCCTCTAAATCTTTCTGTCCTGCAGCGAAGAGAGAGGAGCCGTCCACCACTATTTGCCCTTTGGTCCATCAAGGTGTTGTGAAGTGGGTGATCCATGTTCTTGAGAATAGTCTCCACCCTCCTCAGTGTAAATCTCTCCACCACATCCTCCACTGAGTCCACCTTGAGTCCTACCACAGAGCCAGCCTTTTTCACCAGTTTGTTAAGACGTCTTACATCTTTGTGATTGATGCTTCCTCCCCAGCAGACTGCAGTGTAGAACAGAACACTTGCCACCACAGACTGATAATTCTGCAACATGTTTCACACAGTTTCATGTTTCACAACATGTTTCACAGGTTTCACACAAACCTAAGTGTGATTGTACTGAGAACATCTGGTGGAGTTCATTGTTCATAAGGTCTTGTTGTGTGTCCTGGGGCAGGTTGGGGACATGCAATTTGAATGGACCATGTTCAAATTCTCTCCTGTGGAGGCAGCCACAAGGGTTTGTGGTCATCGGTACCTGTAACCTTGGAACCTGTTGGTGCATATCTTATGGAAAAGACAAGCTCCAGGCTTGAGATCTTTAGGGCTTGACTGGCCCAGAGGTCTCTGGACAAGAACCAGATGGCTAGGAGGGCTGCGGCTTCGGTGGTTTTGGAGCAACCCAGGTGTGGGAGGACTGCAGGGAGACTACGCAGGGGACCTATTGATTGGTCCCAAGCAGTTCTGGCAAACCTTCAGATAGTTCAGGAGGGGAAAGAAGGGTTAGGATTAGGCTGTTCTCAGCAGAGAACTGCTGACCCACACTGAGCATCACTTCGGGGTGATACACTATTGAACTCTTGGATCCCATTAACGTGTCCTCCAAGAGGGGGGCATAGTCTGGAGATCCAGGGGAGGCTTGGCACGTAACCTAGGTAGGGGTTAGTTCACTAAGGTAGTCAAACATCAGTTCAGCAGCAAGGTGCCAGTGTTAGATAAGATCCACCCTAAGATGCTAAAGTCTTTCAGCATCTCAGGGGTCACTGCAGGAGTATGGGGCTCTTGCCAAGTGCTATCTGGTCCCTGTACAACCTAAGTGTACCCAGCACAGAGTGAGACAGGTTCCCATTGTGTGCTGTCCGCTCCGAACACTGATTCTATTTGTGATCCTTATGGCTAGGATCTCAAGGTGCAGCAAAGGGTAAATGGGGTATTCAGTGTAGGGGCCCCAGTATTCTGTCTCTACTTTTTGTAGATGATGTGGTTCTTTTGGTTTCTTTAGATTGGGACCTCCAGTAGGCACTGTAGCAGTTAACAGCTAAATGCTAAGCAGCTTGGATGAAAGTCAGCACCCTTAAATCAGAGGCCATGGGATCCAGTCTCAGCCCCAAATGACAGAGTTGATTCTTGGGTTCTGTTTATAAGTGAGGGTAAAGTAGGTTAGAAGATTCAAATGCAGGTTGATGCAGTGTCATCAGTGTCATGTAGTCATTGTACTAACTAGACCATTGTAGTGAAGAGGGAGCAGAGCCTAAAGGCTAAAGTTGATCTGCATTCAAACCCTCACATACGCTCATGAGCTATAGTGAATAAAAAAATGAGATCATGGATACAAGTGGCCAAAACGAGTTACCTAAAAATATAGATTTCATTTGCCCGTTTCTATTATTCATATTACCTCATTTCATTATTTGTGTTGATGACATTGCATTTGGCTAGGACCTAAAACTAGCACAGTGCTGGATAACATCAGTAGCATCAGACTGCTGCACAAAATATGAGAGTGTAGGGAGGATCATACTTGACATGAGCTCTCACTCCTCAGTTGATGAATGAACAGGAGAGAGACATAATTTCTCTCTCCTGACAGAGGAGGTGTCAGATGACATGAGGGGTGGGGGGTGACAACAGGTTGCCTATATTGCACACACAAAATTTGTTAAGTCTATAGACACTACATTGTGCTTACATCATGTATTGATTAATTGCTTTCATTATCTACAAGGGAAGTGATGCACAACCTTAACAATTATCACACACAACAGAAAGAATTTTAGTCGACCTGCTTCAACTTAGTGCCCTCTAAGATGCCCAGTCAGCAGGTTTGCAGACATCTCTTTTACTGAGATCTTCTATGGAAAAGTTGCTATTTGGACGCAGCAGCAGCAGAGCTTGGTTTCCATCTTTAATATTTCACATCAGCTTGACTTTGGGATTTGATAGTTGTGATTTAGCAGCACTGGTGCTTTTTCTCTGGGAAAATTTCTGTTTTAACTGGAGATTAAGGTATGCCCCTATTTCTGAAGCAAATTCTTTCTGACAGTATGTAATCAAAAAGTGGTACAGTGATCGGTTGGCTATTGAGAACTTGTATATGTTATCACATGGAGCTTCTGGAAATAGATACTATAAATGTTGCTGCATCTATTAGACTTGACTGGCACATAACACACACATGCTTAGGCAGGCTGTGCATATAAATAAAGATGCTCCAACACACCTAGTTGCCAAAGTTGATATGTTGAGTAGCAGGATTGATTCATATTGATACTAAATATGTGTGAAGTGCTTATAGATGTGCATTTACATGTTTTAATGAACTAGGAGTGTGCGGTAGGATGATATTGAAGGGTTTTGATGTTTCCACTATCTTCAAACACAGACAGATCATGGTATTGGCAGCTTCTATCCCTTGGTGTTCAATGATCATACATGGGTGCATTTTGAGGTTTTTAGTTCACTCAGGACTCAGATACTGGCCATGAGGTTAAGAAATGACAAATCAAGTGTCTACTGCTTTATGAAGCTGCACATGCTGAGTATGGGGAGACTATACAGATGACATTTTCCTGCAAGTCCTGAGTGTTTTGAACTGCTCACATGACAGTGCAGTGTGTCTTGGTATCAGATTATGCACAGGCAGATGGTAAAGACAAAGACAGAATTTCACTGGTGTTTAAAAGATTACTCTAAAATACATACTTAGTTGTTAATCATTTGAAACAGTTTAGAGTTTTAATAACCTTCAACTCAGTAGATAATGTGTCTAAATTATCAAATAAGAATCAAGCAGACCAAACGATGAGAGAGATAATTAAACTACGAGGTATACCAGGTTGCTGCGTAGGCACCAGGCATGGTCCTAAATTGGAATGGTAATTTGGATAGACAAAGATCATGATGTGGACACAGATATGTTTTTAGATATATATAAATGTGCTCAGTATAGTCTGGAAATAAATTTTTAAAAAGTTGAGTTTTATGTCATGTGCTTCACTGATTCAACATGCACCACCTGAGGCCCTGCAGATCCGGTCATCTCCCTCTGACCTTTCCAGCTGGATTCTTTGGCTCTGTTTCAGTCAAACCTCAGAACATGTACATCAAAATAAAGTTAAGAAACTGACATTCTAGCAGGAAGTGTTAATTTCTTTCATTTCAAAAGGTCCAAATCAGAAATTGTTTAATTTAGTCCACATTACTGAAGTTCACTCTACTCAGAGGCAGCGGGCTGTAAACCAGCCGTGTTGCCTTCTACCACTATCTCACATTGGGAGAGGAGGCATTCAGAGTTCAGTAGTGAAGGCCTTTGTGTGGAAATTGGATTTTTTTTTATAAAACCCTCAAACTGTTCATTACAATTTGCAACTTTCGTTTTGAACTGTCTATTAATTTCATCCACATATGAAGGCTGTAGTTCAGTGTAAACTTTCTCTCTACCACTTAGTCTTGCATTGAGGAGGAGAGAAGCAAAGGCTAAGAAGAGCTTTTATAAAGCCTGTGTGATAGTACCTCTTGTTATAAAGCCATTTTTAGTTTTGTTTCCTAGTTAGTCATGATACTTAGTTTGTTTGAAAAGAGGTGGTTGGTTATATAAAGATAAAGATCATTTTGGATTAAATAGATACAGTTAATAATGATGTCTCTGCGCAACCCTTAGAGGTACTACACTGTATGGTAATGTGCAGGTTTGATTTTAGGCTTGATTAGTGATAATTTCTTTATTTCTGTTGAGTTAGACCACACTGTCCTGTTTAATAGTGTTATTAGATCCCCATGTTAAAGATGTTGCTTTAGATCTCATCAGAAAGTGAACTTTTGCAGGAAGCATCTCACATTTGTTTGTTGAAATGGGTGGTTACATTTCAGGTGCTGTGTGATAAGCAAGCTGTTATTTGGCAAGAGTGTACTTTCCTTGAGTCATGCTGTTTAGCTTAAACTATTATTAATATTTGAATTGAGCAAAAGAGTCTGAGGCTGCGTATACTTTGAGTGTTGCCCTTGTCTTTAGGACTTGGCTTAAGTTGGTCAAATTGTACACACATACTGAAATATGTTCAAAAAGCTACTCTGGTTGAAATCCTTCTTTCTTTTATTCTCTGCTGCTCATAAAATAGACCAAAATGAGCAGTGATGCTTCTTTATGTGCTTCAAAAACAAACTAGACCATTACTAAAATGACTGAAATCTGTCATTTTAAACCCTCTGTGAGACACTGCAGTTTATGACACAGAGGACCAAAAAAAAAACAAAAAAGCTGTTCTTATATTTTTCTCAAAGGCAGATTGATCCAATCCAATGTGAGGAAGAGACTGCGAACTGTGCTCAGGCAAAGTCAGGCTTTTAAAAGTCATATGCTACTAAGTGAATATGTTTTTAACTGACTTTATCATTTTAAGTGGTGAAAGTGTAACAGGAACTCATAATCAACTGTGAACCTTAAAATGCAGAATCAACAGTAAATCTCAACCATGTCACAAAAAATACAAATACACTGCCCTGCAACAGATTAATTCAACTGATCAGGCTCCTGGTAAAGTATTTCTTGGATGTCAGTCAGAATGGAGTCATTATTGAGTGATTATCATCGGTAGTTTCTACTAGGGGTGGGAATCACCAGTGGCCCCATGATATGATATTATCACGATACTTGGGCCACGATACGATATTATTGCGATTTTTCACATTTTGCAATACACAGAGTATTGGGATAAAATATATCGTGATTTATACAATTTTTTCAACTGTTTAGCTAATTTAACATTTCTCTTACCTTTGTGTTTGTCTTATTTACACAGTATTTTATTTTCATGTTGCACTTCTTCTTGCAAACCTCATGTGTCAGGTCCATCTTATTTGTGCCCTGCTTGCATTCCTAATGTCTTTCCCCGGGTGCTGCTATATTTGTTGTACTTACTTTCTCCTGCTCTATGATGTCACCTCTGCCAACCTCACAGGACAAACAGTTGATTTTATTTTTCCATTATCATAGAATTGAGTTTATATTAGCAATTAATAAAAAAAACATAGATACTTGGTCAATGTTATGATCCAATATATCACCAGACAAAATATCTCAATACTATGCTGTATCGATTTTTTCTCCCACCCCTAGTTTCTACCTTGTAGCACAGCACGCTGGTGTAAAACTCATGTCTGGCCAGTGTACGCTTGAGAGTGACAACAGTCAAATAACAGAGCTTCAGATATGTGGTGCTGCTCATCTGTGTAATAACTTTTCACTCTGTAAATAAGTGTTTGCACAAAGATAGTCTAATCAGAGTTTACTGAAAAAAAAATATCTACATCATGATAAACGGTGCCTGAATTCCAGCAGTTCAACAAGGCAGCAGAATCCCACATTTTCAAAAAGGGCTGTAGGTGTTTGTCACCCAACTCTCAACTGAACTCAACTCAACTGAATCCATTTTCACTTTTTGTCAATCCTTTAAGACCTGTGTTCCCATGTTGCTGTAAATGAGGAGCTGGAGCTTCCATGATCTGTCTACTGTGTAAATGCTCACACAGCAACAGCCTCAAGGTGTCCGCTGACAGCCGTTGCTTGGTTTAAAGTTACAGCCTTTCTGCATTTCATACACACACACACACACACACACACACACACACACACACAGCCTAGCCTAAATGGCTTTTTCACAAGAAATTTTGATATTTGTTGTAGAACTGTTATACAACCCACATTGGTCTCAAGAATTGCACAAGCAGTTGTCTTACCATAGAAAAACACCTTATTAACACAGTGCGTGGACCTAAATGGTAAAAATAGACTACGGAGTAAACTATTTTAAAGAAAGATAAAGAGTCCATATCCCGTATTTGAATTTTCTTAAATGAGAAATGATATAACAATACAACTTTAAATAACATAGCATTGAAAAGTAAAATCTCAGTGAAGTAAGGTATACTTTTGACATACATTTGTTACATGACTGAGAAGTGACCCTTTACCAGCACACTTCTTTGGTTTTAACAGATCCTTTACCCCTAGATCCGGCTTGATGAAGGTATTTGCTGTCCAACACAGAAGAGAGATGATGGTTAATATAGGTTAATGTACACATAGAAACAATTTGACACTTATTTTGTTGCTCTCAGTTTACATGTATAGAATAAGACAAACATGTTGCAGTCAGTCAAAGGCAACAAGTTTGAACAGGTTATACACACAAGAAGAGTATGTACAGATAAGTATGACCTAGTTAAGGAGTACAATCAATTTTGGATTAGAACTGCATGTTTTTGTCTGGCGATCCCAAAAGATCCCACGCAGAGTTTGATATGTAATCACTCAACAGGAACACGTGTGCACAGGTAAGCAAACTCTGACCTATGCTTAAGTACAGTTTGGAGGCATGGGTCAGAGTTGGCTACGTAGGTGATGAGAAGGTGCACTAAAGATTACATCAGATTATATATTTTCTGTTTTCACATTCAATGCCATTAAATGTCAATGCAACAGGTCTTGATTAACTTGATTACTAAAGTCAGCCTATTTTATTTAAACACTGATTTCAGCATGTCATTACAGAAGACAAGGATGGCCATGGATTTTTCTTTTTATGCACTGTCTCATGATAAGGACTTATTATCTCGTTATCCCAACATAACAAAGGTTGTTTTCTTGTGAATGTGGAAATGGTGTTTTAGCCAACCTAAAAAATGAAAGCACTGATGTCACGCTCCATTTTGCGCATGCGCATTACACTTTCGACATGGGAACAGGTAACTGCCATGCATGAATCTGACAACATCTGTAACAATGGCGGGCACATTATTAATTATTTGGTTATTTCGAGAAAACAATCTTTGTTATGTTGAGATAATGAGATAAGTTGTTATCACGATAAAACGATCTTTGATATATCGAGATAATAAGTCGTTATCATGAGCTAACTGCATTTAAAAAAGGAAAAAAATCCATGGCCGTTCTCCTCTTCTATATGTCAAGATAAAAAACATGACTTTTAGTCAACCGAATAGTTAATACTTAGTCTCACCTTCACATTCCTCCACAGCATAGAGGAGAAAATGTGACTGTGTTGTTTAATTATCGGGTGCAAAAATCCTTAAACAGACATTAAACAACTGTGCAACACAGTGACTAATCGTATCAACATCTGTGTGCATTATCAGGGTATTTTTCTACTGTTCTTAAATAGAGTGGAAACACAGCATGCCAGACAAGGCAACAGCTGCTTCATGCACTCTCATCACATCTTGCTCTCCTGCATGTATTCAGGGTTAGTGTCTGCAAAGTGTGCAAGTTAAACTGATCACACACTCACTGGCCACTTCATTAGGAACACCTGTTCAATGCCATGTTTACATAAAAAGATAATCAGCCAATCACATGGCAGCAACCCAATACATTTAGGCATGTAGACGTGGTCAAGACGTCTTGCTGAAGTTCAAGTTCAGTTCATTTAGATGGTAGGGTCAGAATGAACGCTGAAGGATCTGTGTGTGGGGCAGCAAGGTTGCATCAGTAGCTGATTTTATTGAGGCTTTCTTGGAGTTGTGACCCTCTTGCTTACAAAACATAATAATGATAATGACGTGCTTTTAATCAGGAGTACCTCGATGTCAGTGTCAGAAATCACAAACTTGACTTTCATGTCGTCTTCTCTACTGTTACCATGATTCACTGTAGAAGCCTCTGATCTGATCCTCTGACTTATTTCAATGTATTTTCATTCATGGGGGCATTGACCATTGATGAAAGAATGTGGTTGGTATAGGGCAGGATATGAGGCTGGATCGCATATGCATTTTCCTACGTGGATCATGATTTATAAAGGCAAAAATGAGTGAAAATGTATGTATGCACAGATGATTTATTTAGCATACGCTTGGTTTTAGGTGAATACTCTTAGTATGGATTCTGTGCATGGTTTTATAAGATGAGGCTCCAGGCGCCAGAAAAAAAAGGCCAGGCTGAGATATCACTCGAGATGCACAGCTTAATGAAACTGGTAAAAGAATTTTTATAGTGGACAATCTGAAATTCAAAATTTCCCTTTGATGGGTGTAATCAGGGAGTGAACTGAAAACCAAGCAAAAACACAAAAGGCCAAATTAGAGAGTGGCTATATGCAAGGTCCAATGAGATTGGCCAAGGTTTCTTGGTTATTCATGGGCGTGTTTTGTCCATTACATTGAAAATTTTGATGATTGTAAAGATTTTTCTTACGGCATGAGTTTGGATTTCACATGTTGAAGTTATGATGGTAGGTATTTCATTCTCAACTTGCTTTTTACATTAAACTATATTTGCTAATATATCTTTTCCAACTTGCAGGCCATGGAAAGAACCACAAGGATGCAGCATCAGTACGAGCCACACACCCGATCCCTGCTGCCTGTGGAATCTACTACTTTGAAGTCAAGATTGTCAGCAAAGGTCGTGATGGGTAAGCAGACACAACCTCTTTCAGTTTTTATTGCGTATGCCCTATGGTACACCTTTAAATTGTTGATGATTGTGCTTTACTGGCTTTTATCTTGCAACATTATCAAAAAACCAACCTTTAAAAAAACTAAAGATCTTACCACAAAGTCATGTTAACGTAGTGAGAATTTTTACAAAACTGCTTTATTCAGGGTGTCATCATCAAGGGTAGGATGCTTGGACTGTAAATAACTCGACTTATTGTGAAACCTTGTAAACAAAACAGAACACTAAATGCAATGACTGTCATAGCTGTCAACAGTGAGCCTTCCCAAGTCAACCCAACCACTGACGTTTCAGCACCCATGACCAATGGGACTGGAAGGCTCTGGTTCAGTACATGAGAAAAACTTGATTTGAATGTTACTCAAGCTTCTACAGTAAAATAAGTTCATGCAGACAAGATGAACATAGTTTCTGTACATTTAAAGAAGTCTGGAGAGATATACCTTATGAGCAATATGCCATCACATCCCACTGTAATAACATGCTTCATGTGAGCGCTACAAAGTTACACTGGCCTGTAGTTTATGGTCTATAGTAGAGTCTGATGGCTGGACAGAATGACACTTTTTATTGCCCCTTAACATACCAGGGTTAATAAGTTTCTTCTCACTTTCAGAAAGTCTGAAGATCAGCACTTGATATGAACCTATAGTGCTTTAAGACTGGGAATACCCAGATAGCTGGTTGTAACTAGTTAGCTATTTAACTTAGCTTAGGAAGTGGTGCGATTGGTTTGTTACCATCAACCAAATTTCAGATCATGAAAGTTCATTTTCATTTACAATACACAGAACGTCATGTTTGATAACTTGATTGTTTTTATTACCTACAATGCTACAATTTTATGTTTGTTAATTATCCCTTCAACGCCACTGGAAATCTGAATGACAAAACCTCTTCATATTAAACTTATGGTCTGGTCTGAGTAAGCCAGTCTTTCCCCTATAGTGTATACCCCCACCCTGCCAACAAGATCCCAACCCAGAAATTGAAGTCGTAGATTAATATATAAGTTTAATTTTTGTTTTTATCAAAACAGCCTATGAAATATATTTTGCACAATTTCAGACTCTAAAGCTCGCAGTCGTTTCATTACTTTCAAGAAAAATGTATCTCTACGCTCCTCTGTTGCATGCTGCGCCACGTAGTTCAAAGGTGCGGTATGTCAGCACCACTGAGTCTTGTATTCTGGTCGCGAGCGCTTGCCGCTCATACCCTGCCAGTTTTGCTCAGGATAGTTTTGACAACCTTGGGCTCTGGCTCCTTTCCATGGCGTTTGCCGCCAACAAAACAATTTAAAAAATATGGTCATGGAGCACTGAACTGTCCTCAAACTTTATGCACCCCAATTGAAAATATCTACATTTTCTCAAAAGACGGTACATTGTGATGCAGACGCCGCACATTTTCTTGTGGATGCTAACTTAATCTCACCCAGCCCTGAAAACAGCGCTGGCTCATCTCCTGCTACCCTGTATGACGTATATCTACATCATACGGGGTTGACGTCTGTCTACGTCATACATGTCTCCCCTCCCCCAAGAGCGAAAAAGCTAGGGGAAACACTGTAAGCATTTATTGGGTATATAACACTTAACTAATTCTGAATTTGTATTACTTTGGATTTAGTCTGTAAATTCCATAAAACTTTTTTTGTATAGTATGCATTCAACTTTCATTAAGCTGTGGGAATTTAATGTGGACTGTTAATGTTCTAATTTTGGAGATTAATGCTAAGCATTCAGTAGGGGAGTTTTGCTCCTGAGTAATATGGTGCTAGATAACACTTAAGAATTGTCACTGAGCATTGCAAGTCATGTCTTTGGAGGAAAATACTGGCATGTAATTACACCCGGACAATCTTGAAGAATAGTCCTAAATGGCAAAATGACTATGTGTGACTCTCACTGTATGATGTCACTGCTAACCCATACGCCTTAGTTCTCACTCCTACTTCTTGTGTTACAACTTTCTATTTGCATAACGCTTAGCTGAAAGGAGATCAAAGACAGTATGTCAAAAGCCACTTCTTCCTGAGACTTTAAAAAATATGATCAAAAACTTTAGCTGATCATTCTTGAGCTAAAACAGAAAGCAGGAACTGAGAGCGGTTCATCTTGACACCTGAGAGACATTTCTGTTTTAGTTTATGCATTTTGAAAGAAATCTATAATAGCCTGCAATTTTCTTTCTTGTTGTTTGCAGCTACATGGGGATTGGCCTGTCAGCCCAGGGAGTCAACATGAACAGACTGCCTGGTAAGTTCAACTGATGATATGACCATGACATAACTAGCAAGAGGATGACTAAACAGCCATGTAGACATTTGTTAAGTGAATTAATGTTGAAATTAACTTCAGGATATCACAATGGGTGGCTGCTGGATGACTATGTTAATCAATTAAAAGGATTGTATAACAATAGTTCATAGTCCTCGGTCAGAGCAGTTGGTGAACTGGGGGTGAATTAAGGATTCCAAGGTTACTTAACAGTGTTTGGCAAGTATTTAATCAGGGCAATATCAAGCGACAACACAGGCTTGCTGGGCATGATTTGGAGCAGTGCTTTTTGCAAACTGAGATGATGAAAACAGGCCTGCGGTGCTTGCTTCTTTTGTTTCGTTTGGTTACACACAGGGCAGTCTTCACAGTGCAATTAAGCAGGTTTGGAGAAGCTAGCCAAAAGCTTGACCCTGAACTTTGCTAATTACTCTTTGGCCCATGGTTCCAGCCTTCTGACTCCATTGATTCAGATGACAATCGGGCATTTATAGTGCTGGTAGTTGGTTTGCTAAAGCATTTACATAACAAAATGGTTGTTTTCCTGATCTTATACTGAAATCACTTTAAAGGAAGTTATTCTAACAGCTTTATTTTCTTTCCATGCGAGATTACGTGTGTGTAGTTAATGCAGGCACAATGTTGATGCAAATAACAGAAATGAGAACCTTAAAGTTATGGACAAATTAACATGAAAGACAGGCAATCCTGCATGTTTGAATATTTAAACGCATGGTCTGATATTTTCTCAAACAAGCAGACGCAATTACCAGATATTGGACTTTACACGCCCAGTGGGACTTCTTCTTACAGTCCACACAGTTGACTCTACTGAAGCAGTCTGGTGTTGACAGTTACAAAGCGATGCTTTCACTTACCACTCCGCCGGACTGTCCTGGATGCTGTCGGCTTAGCCAAAAGGTGGCCAGTTTATGGGCCTGATCTCCAATCTTCACCAAATCCAACGGGTGGAGCAACTCATAGGGTTCTGTTTTCATGCCTCGCTGACAGCGTGGCGCAGGTGCGGCATAAGTCAGGTCCGCCACGCCGACAAGGCGTGCCCAAGCACATTTTGGTATTTTGGTGAGCGGCGCAGCCCGGCTTAAGTATCCTCCCTCCCTAACTCAGCTCTTCCCAGGGGCCTAAGTCGTAGTGAGGGAGGAGAGAAGGCATGGAGTGAGTTTAACACAGCCAAGACCTGCTTTTGCCAATCAGATCAGCTCCTCTCCTCACCTTTAAATCTGCCTCGGTGAGGCGTATCACAATTTTCATGAAGTAGTCAAAGAGATCAAGAGATGTCTGAAGACAGCAATGCCACATGATGGCGACAGAAGGCAGCTCCTCAACAAGTGTTGCTGTAAGCGCATCCTCCACACTGTCTCAAATAAGCAAAGATGGAGGAGCCACTGGTAAGACAAACACCCTTTTCCACAAATAAAGACACTCACATAAAGTTGCACATATTCAAACCTCACGTGACAAAGGTGGGTTGTGCGCACAGATCACAACATAAACTCCCATAATGGCATTAAAATCGGAACCATCTGTGCGTAAATGACGCATCGCGCTCCGTGGCCTGGCGCTTTCCTTCATAGATGTTGGCATATAAAATAAATTTGGCTCACAAAACTGAATATTATAATATCCGTATGTAGGCTTAAAGTAAATAACTCATCTGATCACTGAAACAAATCATCTGTTCAGCCGCTGCAGCAGCAGCTGCAGCAGAACGGGTAGAGGACACAGAGACATGTCCAGGTCGAGCTGCGTGAGAAATAAGAGGAAGACAGAAATGGGAGGGAGACTAATTAAATATCTTGTTAACTTCATCATGTGTGTCTATTTACTAGATATTCAATTCAATTTAATGCGGTTTCAGATGTGTTAATTCGGTCAAGTTGAGTGTCCAAACGCGTGCCAAACGCGCTCATCAGATCAGATATAGATCAGAATATATCTGTATAGATCTAAATGTATGTGCTGACTCAGAATATTGGCTGTTGTTGATTATTTATTACACTGAAATGTGGCCTCCCTACCACACAAAAACAGGAGTTTGGAACACTCAAACCAGATAAATCTGAATCCGAAATAACAAGTGGAAAAATAAAAAAATATCCGTATAAGTGGATTTGTGTGGTTGAACTTTTCCGGATCGATGACGTCAAACCGCAGCTCGCGCATGCGAATTAAAAAGAAAAACAACAACAACGATGGCAGACATACAGGGTATTCTTTACGTTTGTTTTGCCCTTTTGGGGCTAATTTCAGCCTTGCAAGTGAACCTTGTTTTATACAATTACATCCACCAGTTAGCCAGCTCACAGAGGCGTCTGCTTTGTTATAGCCGCCACACCGTCACATAGACCCGACGCACTAGTGTAGCTTCCGCAAACAATGCATGACGCATCACGCTGTTACGATTCATCGGCCAATCAGGTAGCTTTGTTCCTGAATTTTTTGAAGCGGCACCAGATAGGATTGAGTTTGAAGGTTACGTGTGGACGCAGATATTTTTGAGAACTAACACGTGTGGACAGATACATTTATTTAGACGGGAGTACAAAAATATCCTGATAAATATCTATATACGTGTAGTCCAGGCCTGAGTGTGCATTTGTATGAAATACAAAATATAAATTGAATTGAATCGATTGATGTTAAGGAGACTTGGGGAAAGCAGATAGGAACAAAGCCAAGTGTTGTTAAAGTAATCAGACATGGTCTATAGCTTCAGCTCTAACAGTCTGACAGCTGAAGGAACATGTCCAGGCATGTTACAGAGCAGTCTTATGCATCACTGACTGATGCATTGACTTGGGTATGAGGACATACAAGTGTAACGGGACAAACAATGCCTTCACTGTATATTGCTGAGTTATTCAAACAGTAATGTTAATGGGTCTGGACATTAGCAGAAATAAATACAAACAATTGTTAAAGGAGTTTATCACTGATGACATGATGACTGAAGTGTTAAAACTCTAATATAAATTCATCTAGTGTCACAGGTGTTGTGCTAACTGTAATACTGAGCACACAACTGCTGTCAAAGAAAGAACATCAGTAATTCACTCATTTAAGTCTGTGATATTTTATTTAAATCTTGTAAAAGTTGTGCAAGTTGGCTTGGAATTTAAAGGTGGGGGCCAATGTGATCTATTTTCATCAGGCTCAAGTTTCCAAGCAACACCACTGGTAATAAACATACAGCTTTTTACGGGTAGACCCCAAACATCAACAATCCACAGAAAGTATTTCAGTCCAGTGAACTGTGGTCATTTGTTTTTGGTGAGTGGATGTACTTGTAACAGAGAGACAAGAGTGATCGTGGATTTAAGCTAGCCCACGAGAGTTTACTGTGGTTAGCACACTCCATTTAGCTGTTTCTGATTCTGTTCCCAAGAAGGGGAGAGTACACCCAAGTGCGCTTGAGCTTAAGGTCAGGAACTGATGGCCGGACATTCTCCTTCAGGATTTTCTGGTAGGGAGCAGAATTCATGGTTCCATCAATGATGGCAAGTCGTCCAGGTCCTGAATCAGCGAAGCGCCCCAGACCATCACTCTACCATCCCCGTGTTTGACTGTCAGTATGATGCTCTTATTCTGAAATGCTGTGGTAGTTTTACTCCAGATGTAAATTATGCACACATCAAAAAAAGTTCCACTTTTGTCACAGCAAACTCTTAAGGATGACCATGATTTTTTTGTTTTGTTATTTTCTTGCCAAATGTGAGATGGGCCTTTGTGTTCATTTTGGTCAGCAGTGGTTTTCACCTTGGAAATTTCCCTGGATGCCATTTTTTCCCCAGTCTTTCTCTTACTGTTGAATCATGAATGACCTTAACCAAGACAAGTGAGGCCTGCAGTGCTTTAGAAGTTGTTCTGGGTACTTTGGTGACCTTCTTGATGAGTCCTTGATACGCTCCTGGAGTAATTTTGGTAGGCTGACCACTCCTAGGAAGGTTCACCACTGTTCCATGTTTTCTCCCTTTGTGGATAGTGGCTCTCCCCGTGATTTGCTGGAGTCCCAAAGCTTTAGAAATGGCTTTGAAACGCTTTCCAGATTGAAAGATGCCAATAACTTTGTTTCGCTTGTTCTCTGTTCTTGAAGTTTTTTAATGAGGTGTTGCTTTCTGAGGTCTTTTAGTCGACTTAATGTTGTCAGACAGGTTCTATTAAAGTGGTTCCTTAGTCTACAGTGCTGGAAGTAATCAGGCCTGGGTGTGACGAGTGAAATTGAGCACAGCTCTCCAAAAAAATGTGGTTAATCACAGTTAATTGATGATTTAACAATGAGGGCAATTACTTTTTCACACAGGGCCAGGTCGGTTTGGACAGCTTTGTTCCTTTGAATGATGAAATTATCATTTTAAAACTGCATGAATTGACTTAGGTTATCTTTGCCGGATGTTCAAATTTGTTAAACATGTGAGTGTGACAAAAAAGTAAAAACCAAAGAAATCTGGAAGGAGGCAAATACTTTTTTAGTACAGGGCTCGACAGTGTGACCGTTTCACTCGCATTTGCGACTAAAAATAGATGTGTGTGAATTGTAATATGTAGTTAGGGGCAAATGTGCGCATAAAAAAAATCAGCCGAGGCTTCACACAGTGAAGTTAGATTTAGTTTGGATATCTGACTAAATAACATAATATATATAATACTTCTCATGTAAGAAGAATAGTACAGAGGACATATTATTTTTTCCAGGTTGCATTTTAAATCACTGCCCAGTCTCTTCATTGAAATGATCAGCATCACTCATTTCAGTTCATATTGTTATAATACTATTGATTGAAAGAATATAAATTATATT